GTATAAAAAAGGCCCCGGAGTTGTACAGAATTAGTCAGTGGAAACAGTTTTACCTTTTACTTTAATAAAAGATTTTTGTAAATTAAGAACTATAATAAGAATTAATTATAGAAATCTTAAACAAGAAAAATATAAAATATTGAAAAGAATGCCTTCTGAAAATGGTGATTGTCGAAAAAAAATTAAAAAGTTAAGTAAGATAATCACATAATAAAAAATACAGCTCATTAATTTGTTAAATAAATGTTAGATAAAAGACTTGTACATTTATTTACGTACACTTATTAAATCCGAAAATTCTACAGTAGTTTACATTTAGTAGTAATTTAATAATTAATTAAGAAATGATTTAATATTTTATCGTATTTTGTTATTTGAAAGATCTGTCATGTTGAAGTAGAGGACTTGCTGTGACGTCACATAGATCCAAGGTCACGCTAACAAATATACGGGATCTGGCAATTCTTGTAGTTTAAAGTCCTTGTTCCCTACCGTTTTATATAATTTCCCTATTCCCTCTCGTTTCGGATAATTTCCCTATTCGCATTACGTACTGTCCCAATTTTCCCTATTTAACAGTTTTTTTCCTCGTAGCTTTAGTTTATCTCGTCAAAATTCGTAAAAATCTTAGCATTTGTACCTCAAATGCATTTTAAACATATAAAAACTGAAAACCGCAATTTTCGTGCATTTCCTTGTTAACGAGGCAGTAAACACGGCAAGTTACGCTCGGTCCTGACAAACCAAGAATTATGTAAATAATTAGCCGCTTAAAACGTATTGAGACGTACTTTATAAACATCCCTATTTCGACAAACATATACTAATTCTGCACGATAGTGGCGCCTCCTATTGAAATATAATAGCGCAACTCGCTCTAGCGGGAAAAATGCTAATGTGCATGACGTCACCATAGAGAAACTTGACTGGCTACCAGTGTTGCCAGATTGGGCGATTTTTTAATTGCCCTAGCTACAAAATTTTAAATTGGGCGATACGCTACTTTTTGAGCTAGTTTTAATTATCTGCGGGCTACAAATCTTAAAAATACGCTACTTTATTTTAATTTTCATATATAAAATGGCAAAACATTATTAGTTTTGAATAATACAATAAAAGTTGTTTGTTTGTCGAATACAGTAGAGCGTCGTTAATCCGAAAGAATTCCAGTCGGCCTAAAGTATAATTTTTATGTTTTTACATTTTCAATGTATTTATTTCGTTTGTAAAACACAAAGAAATCATTTTTAACGATACAATAGACACGATCATTATTTTAAAAAGTTTACGTTAGGCTTAACATCGACGAAAATTCGACGCGAAGCGACACGCAACGGAGAAAAATTTCAACATGGGATAGGTTAATATATTTTTTCGTACATAATCGGTTATCCGAACAACCAGAGTCCCCAATTGATTCGGATAAACGACTCTCTACTGTATTTCTATTCGCAATGAACGATAGTTTTACTAAAACGTAACATGTTCATACGTGTTCGATTCTTGTTTTAGTACTTTTTAATCTTCAGATCTGGCAAACTAGACTTTTATCGAGTTCGCATCACCGTGTTGCTGTCTCAGTTAATGCCTAGGTCTACTAGTTGAACGGTATTGTGTAAACGCGAACATTGAAAATTTTATTGTGTTACTGTATTTCTCATACTAGCATGATGGGCAAGTGGAGTAAGCACAATAAAAACTGCCAAAATTCATGGCACTCATATAAAGAATTTAGCAAACGGATCGAAGAGCGAGGAGCAAGTGAATAAGAATACTGTAAACTTTGTAAAGTGTATCTCAGAGTTCTCAAAACTGACTCAAGTAAACATGCATCTACTGCAAAACATTAAGAATGCCGCGTGCATAACTTCGCCGTCTCAACAAAAGTTGACAACCATATTTTCTGAAAAATGTATGGTCACTACAATTGAACTCAAGTTAGATGCGTTTGTTGCTTGCCATAAAAGCATTAGAAACGTTTTGATCATTTAACAGGTTCAGTAAAAAATGAATTTCCTTTGTCGAGTTCATCATGGATGGCGGTAAATTCGAATAATTTAAAAATGCATAGAACCAAGTGCTCCATTAGCGTACCGTCCTTGGAAGCGCCGCTTCCCTTGTATTTTCTAAAATATAAAGACATATTGCGCGATTACTTTCATATTTTAAAGCGCTTTGAATTAATTAAAATTAATATTTTATTATAACCGCATTATGTATCTTCTTATAAATTTCTATACTACATGTTAAAAACGATAAGATTGCTATTGTATATGGCCGAGCAGTCAAGGTGGCAGCCTAACACTCTGGGGATCCGGGATCGAATCCGGACGGGTCAAGGAATCCCCAGGAAATTTTCGGGGAGTGGTCCGTTCGGATATGTCGGGCCCCGTCCCCCACAACCCGGTCGCCCCATTGTGGGCCTGGCCGAACCCATAATGGGCCTGCTATAAGAGTCACTCCTAGTGCCCACAGGGCGGAAAGAGTAAAAAAAAAAAAGCAGCCAAATTATATGCATTTGCGCATGCGCTATACAGAGCATCTACCTAACGCGGTTTAGCTGGTGGATGCTACACACCAAAATATCGTATACCCCGCATTTCTTTATGCAGCGAGTGTAGCGAAATGACGTAACGAGCAGTGTTGGCCAATTAGAAACTAGTTTCATTGTGTTCGCTGTAAAGCGCTTCTCGAGCGCTGCATAAAGAAACGAGGGGATAAAGCTTCTAATCATTCTATTTAGGACCGGTTCTGGTCTGTTAGCCGCCTGCCTGCTAGATATTTGGCCGCCCTCGCTCCATTACGTGTATCGCGAGTAGATTTATAACTTAACCCAATCGATAGGAATTTACTATGTTTTTATGATAGTTCTGTATAGTTGACAGAAGTTTAAAAAATCCATTAAAATATTTGATATATTTATTCAGCTCTCCCATCTTGTATCACAGATTTCAATGTTAAACAAGTGATATTAAGATTTAGTATGTTCCATCTATAATGGGATGTAGAAAAAAACGTGTACAATCCTTGTATAATGTTAACAAATGAACTGTTATTTTGGCAGCATCATTTACAACTAAATTTAAAATTAATGAAATGTACAGTACTGTACGTTTCTTTACAAAGCTATATTTAATTATAATTTTCTTTAAAAGTATAATCACAGATTTCAATGTTAAACAAGTGATATTAAGATTTAGTATGTTCCATCTATAATGGGATGTAGAAAAAAACGTGTACAATCCTTGTATAATGTTAACAAATGAACTGTTATTTTGGCAGCATCATTTACAACTAAATTTAAAATTAATGAAATGTACAGTACTGTACGNTTTGATTAAAATAAAAAAAAAAAAAAAAACATTATTAAAAGAGAAAGACAATGCCTAAATTAAATATAAATACAGTAGAGCGTTGATTTTCCGAAAGTCAATCATCCGAAAGAATTCCAGTCGGAAAATTTAAATTTTCGCCAGTGCTGTGGCGCTTCAATCTTTGGCTATGTCTTGGGCTACTCAAATATTTTACGTTTTTGATACTAAATTAACATCTGAAGTATAATTTTTTATTATTATTTTTATATTTTTCAATATATTTATTTTGTTTGTACAAAATAAAATAATTTCTAACAATACAATAGTCTTTGTTACGCTTGACATCGACGAAAATTCAACGCGAAGCGACACGCAACGGAGAAAAATTTCGAAATCGGATACGTTAAACTATTTTTTCGTACGTAAATCAGTTATCCGGACAACCCCAGTACCCAATTGATTCGGAAAATCGATGCTCTACTGTACTTCAATAAAAAAAAAAAAATTGTTGGACATTTTCACGATAAAATTTATGAAGACGTAAAATGACTTTGTGGATGCATAAAAATGCAAAAAGTTTTGTTGTCCTCACCTACTATTTTCAAATAAAATTAGTGTGTTGAATAAGAATGACATGATTTCCAATGCTTTTCCTTGCATATACACAACAGCCCGGAAAGTAAAATTAAGAATGTTTTAAATACATTTAAGTTATTGCTACAGAATATTTTGTCTTGTTATTTACTTTCAAAATTTAAAAGAAAAAAACTAAATAGGATCATTTTGACTTGCACCATCTCAGTCAAAAGTTAAAACTCCGTTTCTTTGCACTCTTTTTATACAACGAGTTAAAATATTGTAGCTCGTTACCTTTACACCACATAAATGGCACGCCTCCTTGACTAAAAGGAAAATGGCGGACGTGTATTCAATTTTCTTTAAACATGGCGCCGCTAGCTCGTAAGTATAAGGAGCTTTGATGCTATGAAATTTTGGTGGTTAAAGGTTAAAGGGGTGGGGAGATTGAGGAGTGTCGTATCATGTCTCGATAGAGGTCGAACTTAAGGATGTTATTCTTTATTGTTATTATTTGCATTCTTTTTTCTTACATAAAACTCATCATATAGTGCACAATTTGTACACATCCTAATGGTGTATTTACTACATATTAGTCTCTTGCACTTATTAGTTTCTTATCACCTTTTAGGATTTTAACTTCAACAATGTGGTTTGTAACATGACAAAAGGTGAAAATGTAGTTTTTCTGTTGTAAATATTTTCACAAATTGAAACCAAACAAACTATAATAAAAACACAAGAACACTACTTATATTCTGCAAAAGAAAAAACAGTCTGAAAAAAATCAACAATGTACTGAGTATGGTATGGATCAGACTGACATGAGTACAGTATAATCAATCAATCATATGGCGGAGAGTCCTTCAAGATCTGAGTCGTACTTAACTATAAAAATATTGTTATATTGAGGGTTAAATGCTACACCTACCACTTTAAACTCTGATCTTACCTTTTTTGTAATAAGTAAATAAAATCTAGAAAGTAGCTAAATTCAAGATGAAACAATCTAGATTTATATCACTTATCTAATTGCCTAAATCTCAAATGTAGGGGCAAACAAAACTAGATTTAGATGAGAAAAATAGATTATAAACTGACAATTTTGCCCACCACCTGGTATAGACTTCGATGTTTTGACTTAAAACAAAATGGTGGTCAATAGTACCAGTTGTCACCACCAAGAGTGCTTTATCTAAGGTCACAGCTACTTTTGTTTTCATTAAGTTGATCTGCCTAGGGGAATGCCTTCTAGGAGATCTTTTTAAGGGTAACTGGCTGCATTCAGGCATTACAGACATGAGAAAACCCAGATAACTTCACGTGGCCAGCCTATCCAGGCGAGGCTCAAACCCATGACCAAACTACTATTGTTTAGGAAATGGAACCGCATACCGGATGGCCAACTAATTAAGATGTCAGCTTACCACTCTGGGGATTCAGGAACAAATCTGGATGGATTGAAAAACACCAAGAATTTTTCAGGGATGATCAGTCTCAAAATATGTCAGGCCGTCCCTCACCAATGGGCTGCTGGATTGTGGGAATCACACTAACAAGTCACTGTAGATATTCATAAGCAACTGAGCCCAAATATTCTATTATAATCATATTCATTTTTGGATTATTGGACTACAGTTTGGATAATTATTAAATTTCTTCATGAAGGGTTTGCAAATAATGGATAAAAAAATTTATGTAAAATATCAGGAATTTTGGATAATGAACTCTGTTAATTCACTTTAGCTTCAAATTTAGCTGTAATTTTAGAATCTATTCACTAAAATTTTTTTAATATCGGTCATTGAGAAGAGTAGACAGAGTCCGGGTGGAAGTTGCCCGGATTGTTTCTATATGACAATGCTGACATTTCACATATTAAAAGACAGTGGAAAAACATTTCAATGTTAAGATCAACATGAAAAATAGTATAATAACTGGATGACTTTAGGCTATGGTCTTACAGTATAAAAATGGTAGAGAGGTGCAACCCTTTAAAGCAGTGGTGCCCAAACTATGGCCTTGGCCAAATCTGGCCTGTAAAAATATTTGACGTTATTTATAAACAGCAAAAATAAGCCTATTTTGGAATATACGAAATATTTGCCTCTTACCTACCTACAACTTATGTGCAATTTTGACCACCAATCAAAAAGTTTGGGTACCACCAAACTTACAAATGTTGTCTCTTGCAAGTTTTATTGTAGTTACCGAAACCAATCTTTTATTCAGTGTTTTTATTGGAACAACACCTGCCAATCAGAAGTGCATCCTCCCTAAAACAATAGAAAATGAAGAATGGACCAAGTATTGAGAGATTTAGTGCTGATAAAAATCCAACATTTTACTCTTCTGTTGATTTCCCAGCCAGGTTTTGACTCAGGTCACAGTCCTTATCTTTTTCTTCAACAGGTGACCACTTCCCAATCTAGTCATCCCTATTTTCTGTTTTGGAATATCACAATGACCTGTATATGCTCAGTTTAGACTGTTATGATTTTCAAATGTTGTTTATTAGTCTATGTTTTACAATTATGACAGAGATAACCATCAGTTCACAGAGTGCCAACACTCAATCTCTTTCAGACGATTCAATGTTTAAGCCAATAAAATAGATAAAGTTTTTGGCCTTCTTTCCCAAGAGAAGTAATGCAAGCAGACCATCAGAAGCTGTATCCTTTAGATTTGCTACAGGCCTGAAATCTGATGTTTCCAGAAAGGGGAGGCCAATTTATCCTACAATGAATTGCCACTTTAAACTTTGGAGGTATACCAATTTAGCTTTTCATAATTAATCCAGTGAGGTTTTGCCTCAGGAACTTCATACAAAGACTTTGGCAACTGGCAAAACTAGTCATACATTCATCATCAGTTATGGAAGAGGAAAATCAATGTGATTAGACAGAATACAATTTGGATTTATCCCGACTGCTACAGATTGGACGGAAATGGAGGCAGATTGTGGTGCTCTAAAATACACAGAAATTGCCATTAGTATTTCTTGATGGCATGGATACCAACTCTAAGGAGCCAAAACTTATTTGTCTGGTTGCTTTAGAGTTGGTAGCCATGGTATCTGGATAAACAGATCAAAAAACAAAGAGACAAACAGGCAGTACCTGATATTTTCCAGAAAAGAGGTGAGTATAATCTTTCACCACCATCCACATAAATAGTTTCCCCTGTGATGTAAGAGGCAGCGGGAGATAACAGGAAGCAGACAACTGCTGATATCTGCAAAATATAATCAATCACACCATTAATACATGAAATCTGTATATTCTAAAGAACATTTAAGTGAAAAATTTTGGTATAGGAGCAATAACAGCCTTAAGCTATATTTTGTTTAAAAACCATTACAGAAAACGAAGGAAAAGTAAATTTTTGGCAGACAATGGGATGGTTTTGCCAAAAACCAGATCTGTGTTGGAAATAAAGTAGCCAGCAAATATGGAACAGATTTAAATAGTTCCTCCCATAAAACTAGTCTCATCTGTATCATAATACTCATAAATAAAAAAATAATAAAAATTACAAATTACCATGCTTAGGTGGTTCATTCTCTTACTGGGACCAATCTGATATCAGTCAATCTTAATACAGTATACATAATTCAGTCTGAAGATTGTACATAAACAAATCAGAAGCATATAGCAGCATGCACTGGTTCAAAACATACAACAATATTTACAATGATCACACAACTTATCAATTTTTGCAAAATTACAAAACCATGCGGTAATCTAACTTATGATCATTCTGGTCCCACAGATACCAGATTAACGAACTTTATGAGCGTGATATTTCTTTAGAATTCCTTTTTTGATAACTAGTTTCTTTATTTTTAAAACATTTTGTGTAATGTAGGTTTTCGTTATATCTTTTAACTTGCAATTAATATATGAACGCCACAGCAGTTAACTTAAGATTAGGTACTGTTATGTTGTATCAAAGATGCATAATAGAATTTATTTTTATTGTCAACTTGATGTAAAAGATCTTTTTTATTTGGTTGCAGTATTTATTTATGTTTGAAATATTTAAAGTATTGCATTTAATTTTTACTTTCTCAGCTCTGTTATATATACAACAGAGGGAAAGTATGACAATCAGGCAAAAAATGAGCCCCAAGATTTTTACATTTTTGGACTCGGGACCTTGAAATGTCAAGAAATGTAAAAGAATTTCAGGACTTTTTTCTGTATGTATGTGGTGTGTGGCATGATTTTGTTCACCCTGTTTGAAAGCTTAATAACTCCTGTGCTTACTGTTGAAAATTTCTGAAATTTTGCAGGAAGATTTTTTTTTTTATTAGGGGAATTGATGCAATTAAATTTTGGTGTTTAAAGATTGACAGGGTGGGAAGATAAACGGAGTCGTACAGTGTATCTGTGGTAGGGACGGACTTATTGAGGATTTTACTCGTTATTAGCATTTATGATTTTTTATAAAACCTAACACTACCCTGTAAATTAAGCTCCTCTCCAGTGACGGACACTTTTTGACCAGTCGTTTGTATAACTCATTGTAAACATAATTTTCCATACAAATAAACGCATTGAATTTGGAAATTCGGTCTCTCTGTGAGTCTCTCTGCGTCCAGCAAACCACTACCCCCATACGGAAAAGGCTTTCTCGCGTCATCCTGACAGATCGCGGGCAAAGCGAGGGTTGTAACCTTTAACTGAAAGGTCAACCCCACAAGGGTGTCATCCGGGCTACTACCACACCTCACATTCTTTTAGTTATTCCAGTGGATTGATTAGACTGTATAGTTTAAGATTACAAATCAAACGATCTAAAATTATAATATCTACTGATTCATCTTGTATTAAGCAAGCATTTGCTTAGATGAATCTAGTTGCTAAGCTAAGGCTATACACTTTCCACATGTGGCATCAACTGAAGGTTTAACAACAATATCACATGCAATTTTTACTTAAGTTAAGCACAATCTTATTTTAATGTTATTCTGTGTAAATTTTGATTGTAGCCTTAAACGTTGATAATTAAATAAAATTTTTGAAATGTACTTGGTAAATGTTCTCAAGTAATTTAACTTACTTCTTCAGGTGTTCCACATCTTTTAGCAGGTAAATTATCTTTTGCAACATCAAAGACATTTACTGGATAATTTTTAGCTGCTGTTTCTGAATATATGGTTCCCTAAAATTCAAATATCAGTAATTATAATTAAGTTAAATATTTTGAAACAGTTTATATTTTAAAAGTTTAATATTTTCTTTTATCACATTTCAAAATATTGAAGTATATATTACTAACGGGAGCAACGGCATTCACTCTTACACCATGCTCGGCCCATTCTATAGAAAGTGATTTAGTTAAATTCTGAACTCCGGCTCTGGCTGCTGCTGAATGCCTGCATTATTGTTGTCGTTAAGTAATAATATATTAGATATTCTAAATATTCAAAAATAATTATAAAATCTTAAATTATATCAAATCTTATTCTAATAATTTTAAATACTTTAAATGATAAAATATATATAAATTTTTTGTTTGTGATTTTCTCCTGAAAACAAAATCAGTTTTAATATTTTGTATATTAAATTGAATTAGACCGATGGAATAAGGTAACACAACGCACGGCGATCTGCCAAGGAGAGGGATAATTTTCTATGGAAAACTGGTCGCCGTTATTTAGGCATTAAACACACGAAAGCCCAGAAAACAGAAAATTCCATGCAACTCACCTGTTGGTCACGCAAACAAAATTAGGTGTACTCATTTATTTACTTTAAATTTCATCAAAATGAATGTTTGATATTGTTTATGCTGTTATTGTTTATTCAAAAAATAACAACATAATATTGTTGTATAGTATAATAAGTATTTAATGTTTCTATCAAACATGCAATTTTGTATAGGGTGATCATAATTACAATATTTCTAGTATTATATGGTTATTAATATTATGTGATATCATTTTTCTTAAAATTCATAGTCATTTTTCAAACAGCTAAAATTAAATTTTCACTAACTACTCACCACGCCTATATAACAATCACATACACTGAACCAATTTACGGTGTGGTACGATTGACTAATAAGTACAAAAAAAAAAATGTTTTCGAACCCCTTCTGGGCTCTTCATCAGGTTCCTACAGTTTTAGCTCGTAAATTTGATTACCAAATGCTTTTCAAATAACTTTGTTTTTGAGTTCGAACAGTTGATACACAGCACGCTTTAGCTGCTCGTTATATCCAAGCAGGCAGACTTGTCACACATGCGCGACGTATAACGTTTAAAAGAGCTGTTCGAACTCAAGAACGAAGTTATTTGAAAAGCATTCGGTAATCGAATTTACGAGCTAAAACTGTAGGAACCTGATGAAGAGCCCAGAAGGGGTTCGAAAATGTTTGTTTTTGTACTGGTTAGTCGATCGTACCACACACCGTAAATTGGTTCGGTGTATGTGATCAAATTTTCACTTAAAAAATTCAATTTTCATATCATATTAGTCAAAATAATCCTGAAAATGACTACAAAATATAAAAATTTCAACTTTTTTTTTAGAAACAATCAATTTTCAGACAAAAATTGATCAAAATGAGACCAACTTGTGACCAAAAATAGATTAAAAAATAAAATAGTTAATCAACAAATTTGGTATGTGCCTATTCAATTTTCCCTCTTCTTTTAATCCTTTACAGACAAATTCTAAATTCATCATCATATTTAAATCTTTTCCTGTTATAACCTTATTGAATCTATCTGGGAAAAAAACTTGAAAATTATTATTTTCAGAATCTACTAAAACAACTACAAATTTCTTACTACGTTTCATTGATATTTTGTTTGCTTCAGATATTTGATATTTGTATTTCCACAACTAATTAGTTTAATTTTTCACTGGAGTAGATTGAAGTTTGCCAACACTGTTTAGTTTTTTCAACATTCCCACTCGTATACTATAATTTATATTCTTTATATTTATGAATGGATTTTTAAAATGTAGTTCTTATAAAGCATGCATTTATACATTGAAAATCCGTTTCCTAATATTTTTACACGTTTAGGCATATATAGATGTATTGATATTTCAAGTTTATCTAAAATTTCTTTCTCCGTATTTCCTCCTTTATACACAAGTCTACCACCACGCGGGCACCTGCAGAGGTAGGAAAACGGGGCACTTGCCCCCTGGAATCGAGTAAAAATTTCCACGAATTGTAATTGTACAAGTAACCTTACACCATCAACCATGGGATGCTTTATCTGTCTTCTGATATTGATACAATACTGTATTCTGTAATCTACTTGTAAAAGAAATTAAATAAAAATGTATTTATGTAATTATTTGTCTCCAAGCTTTGTCCCCCCTGAAAAAATTTTCTGCGGAAGCCCACGTACTATCATATAATACACGTCTGTGATGTAGCTATGTCACAGGCAGGCTGAATTTTGCAGTAATCATACAGTTCTGTCTTAGCGCACAACTTTTCATAAATGAATGTAAATTTAAAATTCTTAAAATGGTTATTACAAAAATGAATCTATAGAAAAACACTAGAATAGAAATATCATGTAAAAAATAAATAAAAATTATTAATTCAAAAAATATGGAAGGAAATATTACGCCATCATAGGTGAACCTCTGTAATTGTTCATAACAATATTGACAATAACACCTTTGTTTTCCTTCATCCATTGATTGTAGGCTTCAAACAAAAAAAAGAAAAAAGAATTTTCATATAAAATTAAAAATAATAGAATTTAAATTTACATGCAATATTAAGAAATAATTAATTAACTGATCGTATTTTGTCTAACATATGAAAAAAAATATTATGCAAGTTAAATTAGCCACTGTAGTTAATTTAATACAGCAACAATGTTAACAGTGGATAAGATTAGAGAAATGCTAACATTTTCAACCCCAGTTAACAAGTTTTATTTATGCTTGAAGATGGCACATTATCAATGTCAAAAATGCATTATCATTTCTCCAACCTTACAATTAAAGGTGTATTGGTTACTTCAGTAAAAAATATAATATAGTTATGTATTGATATAAAATAAATGCTAAACTAATACAGAATAGATAGGTTGCGGCCGACATTTTCAATGCGAAAACGTGTTCGTCGGATGTTCAGCGCCGCCATCCTGTAAGCCTAGAAGTTTGACAATGGCGTTTGGAACGTCAGTGGAACCATGCTCAACGTTCTAAACGGCATTGTCAAACTTCTAGACTTACAGGATGGAGGCGCTGAACGTCCGATGTACATGTTTTTGTGTTGAAAACGTTGGCCGCAACCTCTCTAATAACTTAAAAAACTACAGTACTTGTGCAAATCAGTGAGCATCCACATTCAAAATTCCAGACACATATTCTCTTGTATTGTGTTAGTCAACAGCTATTTAGAATGTGCAATTAGCTTTCTGTTGTTCTGATTGAATGCTAGCATGCACTATCTAAAAGTTTTGCTGCATATAACTTCTTGACTCTTATCTAAAGACTTTTAGAAATGCTGTAAAAAGGTAAAGAATCCATAAAAATAAAAAAATAAAAAAACACCATAAAGATACATCAGGGAGAGAGATGTACTGTCCTCCCTATTCTTGGCTAGCTCTATATCAATGTCAATATTATCTTCCAGATAACTATTTGAAAAGAAAAAGAAAGCTGGATAGACCTAAACAACATTGACTGCAACAGTTAGGACCAATTACCACTAAGATTCAATCATGGCATGTTTATTCAGTAATCAATACCTTACCATTAGACTGCCGTAGGCTTGCTAAAAATGTTGACCCTTGTCAGTAGAGTTTACAAAATTCTGATACAATCAAATAATACTGGAGATAGTAAATATACAACCTTAAAAACAGAATGAGCACAAGCTAGATAATAAAATCAAAAGGAAACTGAACACTGCACTGTAAAAAGGAACTGCCCTTGTTTTTAACTAAAATTAATATTAACATTTAATATGGTACTTTTAATTGTGATTGTTAATTAATTATTGGTTAAAAATAAATTATTGATTGTTCTAGTAAACATATTTCTCTTAGTTATGAAAAAAATAGTATACTTTTGTTAACTTCTGGAATGTAACCTTATGTTTTGCACTAGTCCTTTGTTTCGTATAGCACGGATTTGCATAACACGAGACTTTTTCGAAATGTAACTACCATGTTATATGAGTCTGTATTATTCAGTCTTAATATTATAATAATTTATATTTTTTACTTTTAAAATGCTAATCAGATGCAATTTGTGAAATTGTGTAATAATCAAAAAATAATGAATATGTAATTAATCATTTCCCTTTTCAATTAATAATTCAGTTGTTAGAAACACAGTAGCATCAAGAAATTAATGTACTATTGTCTCCTATGTTTAGAAATGCAATAATAATGTATGCTTTTTTATTATTAAATCCTTTATCAAAATAAGTATTATGAATAAATGTTTTGTTTATCCTTAAACTAAATGCTTATTCATAAGGACCCAACAATCACCTAGGAAGCTATTTCTGAATATTGCAAGAATAGCAAATCTTTTTAGGCAATGTCAAAAAATGTTTTGTGAATGACTGTACTTCTCCTGCCACACCAAGCTTCGATGACATCCCAACCGTGGCTATCAAGAATCCTATTAGAAAAACACTCATCCAACATGTGGCAAAGGGAATGGGAAGAAGCAGACACCGGCAGGACTACCTTCAAGTTCCTGCCTAACATTTCCACCTGTCTCTCTCTCAACCACATATATAGCAACTACTTCACCAGCCAACTAGTTACTGGCCATGGAAACTTTTGACAGTACCTCAATAGATTCCACCATAGCATACCCCCCTTCTGCCAGTGTGACAGCAGCACTATAGAGGATCCTCTGACCATCTTTGAGTGCAACCTCTATGATGCAACTTATCCACAAGGCCCTCATTGAAGGATTCAACTGGCCCTGCTCACCTGACCTCCTCATCAGCAACAGTGCCACTTACAACGGACTTACCAAATTTATTCAGGAAACCGGCACTTTGAATCCAGACTTCACCGACCAAAATCAGGCAAGGGACTCTTGACAGGACAGGTGACCTCTATACTAGGGTCTTTGGCAAAATTGGAAAGGTCAGCATCAGACGCTAATTCTAATCATCCTCATTGCCTCTGCCCTTATGTGGCTTTCAAATGGACTTTGTTATGTGATTGGATCGGGTGTTTATTGTTGTTTTCGTTGGTTACCTTCCACCCTTTGTAAATTGCAACGCAGCTCATTAGTCATAAATTATCTGTTTTTGTATCCAGCCATACTTACATTTGTACACCGATGGCATTCAACAACTACTTCTATTGTGTAATCATTATTTGTTTGTACTCAGTAACCCTGCCCCTTTATTGTAAACAAATTGTGACAGTTTGTATTTTATCAGTCCCAGGATCATGCTATTTTTACTATCCACTCCTGGACAGTTTAATATAACTGTTACCATTTCTTGCATCTAGCTGGTGCATCTGCTCTGTTACTACACCTTCTGTAAAGGGAAAACGAAACTTTCGCAGTACACTATTTGTATAAAGTCCAGCTCTATAAAACTGTTGCAATTCAACGTTATATTGTAATCGACGCCATTCCATGGAAATGGATAACCAGTAATGGAACCTTACAGAAACCATGCACCCTGATGGTAAATGTAACACACTATCTGTAGTTCCACCCCATTGCCTATGTAACCCAATCCCAAGCACCTTTTTGTAATTATCATCACATTCAACTCTTCTGTTTGTAATTGTTCTGTAACCACAAAGCTTTTTGTACATATGTAACGCACCATAACTATTTGTACACTTTCTCTTTCTATAACCTGTACATGTATTATTCTATTTAAATTAACTGTCTCCCATCTTCACCATCTTTTCTATCACACTTTCATCCCACCTTATCCATTCCCCCTCTTCTTCTCCTTTTTTCACACCAGGTGATACCTCTGAGTAGTCTCGGTCTTTTGCCTCTTTCATTATAAAATGTATTAAAAAATGCACATTGTATTTCCTGGTAATCTCAAAGGGTTTTTTAATCCTTATTTCTAACTAGTTTGTATATAGTAGGGTTCCTTGTTGTTTGTGGTCCTCACTATCTCCTTATAAATATCTCTGAATAAGTCCATTGTAATTGAAAACCTCGTAGAGACTTTCAAATAATAATAACCATACAAATAATTTTAAGTCAGTTTAAAGTGTTTATCCTTTTTTTAAGATTCTAACCTTGACGACACAACATGAAGATACAAACAACATCACAACATTGAAGATACAAACAGTTCTTCATTAAAAACCGACATTATGATATTAAAAAAACACAAATACACTATACATTTGATGCCGACCTTTTCTTTGAGGATCCGACATCAATGACACAGTATTAAAAACTTATCTTAAAACATCACTTAGGTCATTATATGTGGTACTTATGTATTGTAAAGTACTATATTATTTTTCCGACTTTCCAACGATTAACGACACGACTGTGTGCCGGATATAGCCGTTCCCTAACAGGTACTTTACGCGGATTCGCGTTAGTGTGCCAGGCCTGGACTTTTAGCGTGCACCGAAGTTAAATAATGACCAAGTTTGTCAATAACAAATCAAATATTTAATAAATTTCTAGTAATAAACTATTTACAAAATTTAGTAACAATCAAACAAAAATTTATTCAATGAAACTCAACAAGAATCAATCCGACAAAACTCAAATCAATCTAGTTTCTAACTTAAATCTATTCCCCTTTGGAATTCGACAAAATTCAAAGACTTAACTTATGTACAATAATTCTTATGAATTAAAGATCCTAATCGTCACCTCAATATACTAGGAACCTATTTCCTCAACTCTCAAGACTTTCCCTATTCGTCGATCCACAAATCGAATAACTTCAAAATCGCCTTGGAACTATTTGATCCTATCAGACACCTCTTTTGTTCACTGCTACGAAGCTCACCAAGCTCGTTGCTATCTGGAATTCACCTCGTTCGTCTTCACTTGATGTTCGGTTTTTATACTGTGAGGTGACGTCACAATTCTGAATGAGATTACTCCTCATTTACATACTTATTCACTAACAATAAAAACTTTTCTATTTGTCTGGCAGCCTATTTTCCGACAATACTCGCTAACCTTTCACGTTATTCTTTTTGACAATTTTCAGGATGTTTTATTCTTTTAAGGTTTAGCGAATTTAAGTTGTGCGTGTGGGGTCTTCCTCCCCTTTGCTCGGTGCGGACTTACTTTTTTCCGCTTGGGAACGCAAGTGTGCGTGAGTTTTTTCTACGGCGCTTTTCTCTCGTTGGTGAGTTGGTTTCTCTTCTATTTTTAAGTTTCTAAGGTGAATGGTGAGGAAACCTTCGTCCTAACAAAACATCAGCCCCAAACAAAATAGAATAATAAGCAAAATAAAAGTAAATAAAAATAATGCTCGGACTTGGTTCCTTACAGTATACACATTCCGAAATTTCCACCAAGGGTCTGCAGATATGTATAAATACAACAGATAATTACTTACCCAAGTGATGTTTAAAGAAAACATTTTTAATACTGTGTCATTGACATTGGATCCTCAAAGAAAAGGACAGCATCAAACGTATAGTGTATTTGTGTTTTTTAATATCATATCGTTGGTTTTTAATAAAGAACTGTTTGTACTTTCATGTCTGTATCTGGTTGGAATCTTAAAAAAAAACATAAAGACTTTAAACTGACCCAAAATTATTTGTATGGTCATTATTATTTGAAAGTAAATTAATTCTTGGAACTTTATAATTCTTGTAGAGACTTTAAAAATTACAGAAACAACACCTATACAAATAAGAACAGAATCACCAATGAAGACAACAGCTATTCTATAAATCAAACGTTTTTCAAAATATAACAATATTTTTAAAAACATTCAATTTGTAGAATAGCCTAAAGATGGCCAAAAGTGTTTGCTTATGTTTTTTTTAAAGTTTGAAAATGTTGATTTAAATATTTTTAGTGTAGTTTTTATCTTAACATCCTTCTATTTACTGTTTTGAAAATAGGTGTAAATATAGAAACTATGTTTGTTTAATTAAGACATTTAGAATATGCTTTGATGTATTTGGCTCATCGGTCATAGGTTGGAGACTCAAGTTAGGTCTTTTCCATTCTTGGTCTATGTCGACGGATCCCAATTTTTAATTTATGTATCCGACAGGAATATGAAAACCAGAAAATAATTAATAAAAACCTGTTTCACATTATATGACCTTGGCAGTTCACATTTTTTTTTTTACAGTTTATAAATGGTAAAGTTGCAATAGTATGTTTACGTTTTTGAATTTTACAGCTTTATAGCTACAACTAGATTCTAATTTTTCCAATTTTAACATTTTATGAAGTCATTCATAAGCATAATGCTCCTATGGTAATGGTTTCTTTGTTTTTCTTTTTAATCCATATTGTGTGTTTTGTATTTGAAAAGCTTTCACCTTCAAGAAATAGCTGTTTAAAATCTTCGATATATTCGATTACATTATTAACACTTACTATACATATCTTTTATATGCTTTTTGTCTTACATTTTAAAAGTACAAACCACTACTACAGGCAAATGCTGATACCACTATAACTATTTGTTAGTTATCAGATGATTCTTATTTATTGTAAAATCTAATAATAGTTTTGTTAATATATCAATTACTAATGTATTTTAATTAAATGCAATAAACTCTAACAAATGTATACAGTCGAAATTACTATAAAAAAATTGCTACTATAATTCAATTTGGTTAGACATTACCTTCTCTACACATAAGAAATGTGCCTGTCAAATTAGTATTGACGACAGCATCCCATCCATTTTTACTTATTTCTGAAGCCTGAGATAAAAATTGACCACCACCATTGTTGACTAAATAATCAAGTTTTCCATATTTCTTCAGGGTGGTTTCAATTAATTTCTTAACCTGAAAAAGAATGAATAAATAAAATTCTGATAAACTTTACATCACTAAAGTTCTCATATCATTTTGACATCATTAATATAAAATTAGACAATGCATAATAATAATCAATACAAAATTAATAAACAGCAACACGCAGACGCCCATGCATCCAAGCATGTTGTTCTTTATTAATTTCATTTATTAGCTAATTAAATACAATTTAATTTATCCAAGCAATATAAATTTTAATAAATTGACTTATAGGTACATTGATGTGAATAAAACATTTAACTGCTTCAACTTGTAAATCTTATAAAAGTATTATATAATGTTTAATGAAGTATTAATCGACACACAGTCGACCCTCCTATAAGACGGTAGATACGTTGCGTTTTTTATGAAATTGATGTTTTAGGAGACCTTGCCAATCACAGCCCAACACGTGTGAAAGTTTACGGACTACGGCTGTTTGAAAGGTTTTCTTCCATAAAATTAATCGATTCCTAGACTAATTCGACTCAACATTTCCAAAACACGTATATTTTTTTTGGGAATAATCCGTATAAACTATGCTATAAAAAAAAAAATTGTAGGATTACTTATTGAGTGTGCACCGTTCGACGTCACCATTGCTCAAGCTTGTTTTCATTGAGGAGCAGCGCACCAAACGGCAGGTGCGATTTCTGATAAGTTATTTTTCTGCGAAAACTTCGTTGAACTTTGGAGACATCATTAATATAAATAATTTTTATGGCCATTGAATAAGAAATGTATAAAATTAGTGCTGTATTAGACTTACGGTACCTAATTTACATACTGTACAGACGATAGTAAACTCAATTTACCTGCCTAAACTCTCTGTAGCGTGGCGCTGGACAGCAGAAAGTAGTTCGGCTGACCGATGACGTTTTACCAAATTACAGGAGTTTTTTTACCACGTTTGTACAGATACCGTCACAATTTTTTCGCCATCATATAGGAATCCAAACTATAGGAACCCGTGTTATAGGGGGGTCAACTGTATTTAATAAAATGAACAACAAACAACCCATAATCAAGAAGCGAAATTTTAAATTTTATCATAATATTTTCAGGAAGTTTATCTCTGTTGAAATGCATTTCACACCTTGACAACATTCTTGTATATAAATTATTTCATCACATTCTTGTATAATTCTAGCACCATATTAACTGACTCTGACTCTTTGGCATTTGCCAGAATCACCAGGCGGCCAATCTGGCTCTACGTACATAACACTTGCTATGAGAACAGTATTATATACCAGTGGCGTGCTGTCTGCGGAAGCTATGATGCACCGCTTCCCTTGTATTTTCTAAAATATAAATACATACCGTGTAATTATTTTCATATTTTAACATACTTTGAATTACTTAAAATTAATATTTTATTATAACCACATTATGTATCTTATTACAAATTTCTATACATGTAAAAAACAATGATAAGATTGCTATTGTATATTTGACTATAAATTCATATATACATATTCCCAGTGGAAGTGCTGTATCGTTAAATACAGGACAGCTTCCACGGCAAAAATATTTGAATTAGGTAAAGCAGCCAGATTATACGCATTCGCACATGCACTTTACAGAGCACCAACCTCATGGATGCTGCACACCAAAATATCATAAAATGCTTCCAGTGATTCTATCCAGGGCCAGCACAGCTTCCCTATCATCAAATGTCACTGTACGCCACTGTTATATACAGAACCTTCTGCAAAGATTAAAAAATTGCTGACAAATTATAACGATCAAAAATGATATTTTGATTCTTTTTGTTTGCTTTTCTAGAAAGAGAAATACATTTTAAGTCTTTGCTATCTACTTCTTGTGTTTTGAAGATAAAACAACTTATAATTATCTATAAAAAAACAGAAAAATTAAATTTCTCAGACAAAAATAAATCAGAAAACCACAAATTTTCACATGACGTGGATGACAAATCCAGTGCAAAGTGTTCCCCAAAGTTCCTTTATAATGTTTCACTGAAAATCATTCTTCGTGAGTAATTATTTTTGCATATGTAATAAATAGACAAAGCCATAGCTACAAGAAAGACTACATTTTACAGGCAGTTTGGAATAGTCATACTAAGTATACTTTTTATATAGAGAAATTTACTATTATTTTCAAAAATACACTCGATTCATAAGTGAAATATTTTCAAAAAAAATAGAAGCAAAGACTTCTTGAGACAAAAATTCTCTTCTAGAGATTTGCAAAAATTTAACAACTCTTCTTTAAGTTTTTATAAAAATCATTTGAAGCATGGTCTAATAATTCCAGTTGACTTTTCGAAGTTTTTATGCTTTGAACTAGTTCGAATGCTGATGATAAAATGTGTCATTAAAAATGAGCTATGCAGGCTGGATAAATATGCTTTGGTCGACGGGCCATAGGTTGGAGACCAAGTTAGGTCATTTCCGTTCTTGGTCCGTCGACAGATCCAAATTTTTAATTTACATATCTGAAGGGAATATTCTATTACCATACTTTTCTATAAGCAAAGGAATAATGGATAAAAAAAAAATTTAATTCAATGTTAATGTAGCAGCTACTTGCTTAGTTTTAAGGACAATGATTATACTTTCAAACTCTACATAAGTATTATAGTGTGTAAATAGTCTTAAGTGATTTATGGCAAGAAATATTAATTAATCTGTACAACACCACTCATTCAATAAAATTACAAGTTCATAAATGATTGCCAAAATGCCTACAATCACAGTTACAATGACATGCAATTGTAAGCAGCTACAGTGAAACTATGATCACAATCATTGAAAAAAATTGCCACAATTGAAAAGTAATGGTCACTGATCACCACGACATCAGAAAATCACCGGACTGCTCATCACTATTTTGATTTTCCTGATGTTTGCAATTACATTTTCGCTGCAGCCGCATCATCATCACCAATTGATGGCATTCCGGTGACCATTTACAAACTTGTAATTTTATCATCTCAACATATACCTTGAAGATATAGCTGATAAGGCACTAGTCGATTTAGACTGTATTAATTTAAATGGATATAAATCTAACTCATGCTAAGTATGCAAAAGACTTAGTTTTGATCGCAAATTCAAAAGTAAAATAGAAACATCATCGGTAAAACCGAATTGAGTGACAAAAGAATACAATACGTTGATTAATGTCTATAAAACAAAAGTAATGATGATATCTAAAAGCAGGGAAACTCTAAATGTACAATCAGATGAAAAACCTATCGACTCTCATCACTGACAATTTAAGTAACATAGAAATGATTAAGCACACATCAGTTATTGCATGATAGCGACGAGTACACCCCGCATCACCATCCAACAAATATCTAAAAGAGAGTTTAACATTGCATGCCATAAATTTATCCCACTTCAGGTGACATTTTTTTGAAAAGTCACAAATTTTACAGCGACCTATGTTTGTCGTTACTCGGATCTTAATTGTAACTTTCGTATCTAACCCTTCTTTCGTGGGTCACGTGCATTTCTCGGAGAAGGATCGAGGACCCGACCCTTACCACTCGAAAAACCCACCTCAGTTTCGTTTCTGACGTCACACTTGATGCCAGTGATTGGAGGAGGGGAGGCATCCATCCACCGACGAGTTTCTTCCACCATCAGCGACAGTCTCTCTTCTTTTCTAGATGCCACCACCACCTTACATCCTGAAAGTCGACTTTGGTTTAAAATTTACCAGAAAACAAAGCAAGAAAAAACAAAAAAGTGCGGATTATATACCCAAACTTAGTAACTCCCGGCTGATGACTCTGCCGATTCCCGTGGCCCCTCCCGTGACGATGGCCACCTTTTTATTGAATAGGTTACTCTTAAAGACGGACGCGACGTTAGCCATTATTGTCAACTCTTTGCTTACGTTAAATGCGACTCGTAAACACCGACGGCGATCTAATCGCCAGCGATAAAATCACGCGACCGCATCGAAGATAAAGTAAACAACTCGATTGGTCGATAGTAACCAATCGTACACGAGAATATCGGACGGATGAGTAAAACGCCGGAAAGGAATACGGTTTATTAGTTTGTCAAGACGAGAGAAGCACGAATACATTGAGTTTATTACATAAAAGTACAGTACAGTACAGTGACCCTAGAAAATACACGCGATAACCACATCCATGTGACTTTGGCGAAACGTCGATACTAGCGCACCCTGAAATACGGCAATACTAAACGGATGAACTTTAATTTTTTTTTTTTTTAATTTATTATCTCTACGATAGACGTTCGTCATCTTGTCCACTATTAATTTTTATTAGGAAAATTTTAAAAATTTCATTATAATTTAATAAAATATTGTGAGAAGTGTACATAAAAACCACGTGACCATTTAAAATTCCCCAGACGGGCTGGCCACGTGGAGTTTTCCGAGTTTTCTCCATGTCCGTAACGCCTTAATTAATTAAAAAAAAAACTAACATGTAAAATGATATTCGAAAGTTATAATCAACTATTAACGAACATAATGCACCATCCGAATTATAAAAAATATTATTAACAATAATAAATAAAATTGTGTGTGGCGTTATCTATTATGAGATTTTGCTATAAAAATCTTATAATAATAGTTACCGTTGCTTTCGTAAGTCTTTAAATTGGTTCGGGAAATTTTAAGAGGTGGGCCGTAGCTTCCGAATCAATGGCCCGATTTTCCTGAAAGTTTCTAGAAATATTTTTTCCTAACACAGAATCCTCCCTGAAAAATTTCATAAGTTTTCGACAAAAGGCACGGAAGTTATTAAGCTTCAAAAAGGTTGAAAAAAATCTTGTCCGCCGCATATATTAGCATACAGAAAATTCTCTAACTTTTTTTTGCGTTTCTCGACGTTTTAAAAAATCCCGTGACAAAAAAATGTAAAAATTTTAGGAACCATTTTCGGACCGATTACTATACTTTTTTTCTGTTTTATAAATGTCGGGATGGTAAAATTATTTTTAAATTGTCTTGGGATGGTTTCTGCAGAGGGCGTTGTAGGAAAGATGGCGGATGCCAGTTAAAGGGCATTGAGTGTTTATAGCACGTGGAGCAGTGGTTCGTCGCACGCGTTTAAGCGATGAAAGTGGAATGGTTTGTCAGCGTCATTATTCTGGCTGTGTCTTTGGGAATGGAAGAAGGAGACTTTTGTACCAAAGACGACGGACTCTGCTCCTCTAAACGTGACTCTCTTCTGAAGGAAAGGAGGTGAAGTTATCCACGCCCCACTTCCTGCATAAAGATTTTAGTTCATAGATAGAGAGCATATCTGTATTTTAAAAATATTATGTACCAGAAAATCATTAATTACATAGTTGAAATTATTGTATTAATGTCAGAGGTCATTCTTGGCTACAAAATATTAGAATGAAATTGGCACTTTTGTTTCAAAATCAAGTCAAATCTTAATGTTTTTGATGTTAAGATGGTTTATTTACTCATTGTCAGACTTTCTTGTGTTGTTGAACATTGATTTAAGTGTCATTCAAATTAAAAAAATGGGTACTTTTTGGTTAATGAAATGCCTGAAGGCTATTGCGAAAGACTGTCACGTTTAACAATTTAGCCCACACATGCAGCTGTGCCACCTTTGAGTAGCCCACTTGACTGTGGAGTACTTGATGTTAGATAGTTTTAGGGGGAAGTGGGGCTAGCTTGCACTGAAGTACATGTCTACATGCTTCGCAGTTTTTAACATTTATCAGTCTACCACATATTCTATATGCGAAGCATGTAGAATATGTGGTAGACTGATAAATGTTAAAAACTGACCTTTGGAGACGAATATCACATGAAGGGTCAATGATTCTGGGATTGTGTGAAACTCTTCATTCAGAGCTTGAATCTTATCCATTACTGTGCATAATGGCTGGCATTCCATTAACTGAAAAGTACCAAAGGATGTGTTCTGCTAAGGCAAATCTTTTCTGGAACATAAAGGGTGTGAAAAAAAAAACATGTAATTAAAAATCAAAATATATAGGGTATTTGTGTTGGTACTTGACATTATAAATGTATTTTAGATTTGATATGTTGAGAAACATGTAAGTGTATAAACTTTTCTGTATATGGAAAGATGTATTGAAAGGTAAACTTTCATTTTATTGATGGTTATGTAACTGGATCGACAAGTCGTTGAACTCGTGGAGAAATGGAAAATTATTAAACGTTTCACTAATAAAAAGCCTTATTATATAAACTTAGTTTTTAATGTATGAGCCATTTTGCTCCACATGATTTAACATTGTGGATGAGATCTTAAATGCTTTTTTGGAGAATGTTGGAGGAAAGATGTTCAGAAATTTCATTGCCACTACCATCATCTCAACATATTATTGGTCAAAATAGTTAATTTTCTAGGAATTATTGCATCAACAGATGCCATAATTACTAGCCAATCACATACATTTTATTTTACCCAGATGAATTTTGGAAATTACAATATTTGCTTCATCAGTGGGTTTTCTTCCATACAAGCTAAACAAGACACACAAACTTTTCCAATACAGGTATTCTTTGGTTAATGTGGGATTTGATTAACATGAAAATTAATTGTGGCAATCTATATACATGGCAGAAGTTTAATTAATGTGGCTTTACCACTTAACATAGATACCATATTTGATTATTGTTATTTTGATGTATGTGGTGGCATCGAGGGATTAATTAACTGTGTTAATCAAGTGTCACCTATACACTAGTAAATGTACAATAACTATAATTATTAATTTGTTTTGTCTTCTAACAATATTCAGCAGCACCAAAAACTTTATGATACTGATATTCTACCTGCATATCCATTTTTTAACAGACAAATTTTAAAACTATTACTGTGTCTACACATGCACATCCAATATCTATTGTATAACAATTTATATTATTTAGATTAAATTTTTTGTCCATCCCACCTTTGTCAGAAAGTCAGAATTTATTGACCTAACTATTTAATTTCAAAATTATTAGAGAAAACATTTTTTTCTCTCCGTTCTAAGATTATGTTGCGAGCTTGAACTTCCAAAAATTAAATCATGCCTTTCATACCATTTCCAGCGTAAAGAGTTTAATGAACCATTCGGTGACCTTAATAATTAATAATATAAACATTTTTGTTTAATAACATCTCATAAGAAATGGTGCCATATACAATTTTAACTTTGCTAATTTGTCAGTGTTTCCTAAACATAAAAAATCCAGCAAAATGTTGGAAAAGTTATGCAACATGTTGCTGGATTTATTCTTATATGCAAACATTTTTCTTTTATTTTTTTTTTTTGGCTAATTATAAATTATTTCTTACTACAGATATCTACTATATGATGTCAATCCTGGAGAAGGGTTTAATTTAAGAAGAGATGTGTACATGAGGATAGCTGCTTTAGCTAAAAAAATTAGAGAAGTAAGGTTACAAGAAGACTGGATTCTTGTTCTTCCTCCTTGGGGACCACTGTATCACTGGAAGAGTGAAATTGCGGAGCCCCAGATTAAAATACCGTGGTCGGAGTTTTTTGATCTTCGGAGTTTATCAAAATACGTTCCTGTGATTGAATTTGAAACGTTTTTGAAAGGTAAAATGTGTGATTTCATTTGTAATTAATAATTTTAATTTTTAATTTATGACAAGAATTGTGATAGGATTGTAATTTTATTACAATTACAAAAAAATCAGACTTCATTCTGAAATTCTAAGAATTTTGTAACTATAAAACACAAATTCAAACTTCCAATAAAATAGTTCCTTAATGATAAAAGTATCTCAGCATGCAGATGATGGTTACTAGTACCAGCCTACAAGAAAAGGTTTTGTGTGAGTTAATATACAGAAAGTTAAAAATAAGAACCACCGAAATATCTACAAAATTTTGACTGCTGCGGTGTCATTGGGCAAATTGATCCTCGATAACATTCTCAATTAGGCCCATTATTGTCTGCAGTACTCAATTTATAACATCACTTCTTCATCCAAACTTCTCAATTGTTCAAACATAACTAAATATTACAATATTGAAATGTCTGGCATATATTGATTAGATCAAGTAATAAAAATAAAGCCAACTTTTTAAACCAGTAGAAAATTATTTATACATGACCAGTACTTTCAATCAAAATACATTTTCAGATCTACCTAACTAAAATGGTGAAATTACATTAATTCAAGAACAGAATTTCATTAATATTTTTCTTATTGGATCATCTTTGCAACCTCTGGCATTTAACTTCTGTCTCATAGTATCAATTTTACTGTTTATAAAGAAAATTCAACAATAATAATTGTAAATGATTACAAATATACTTGAATTTTTTATATCAAAGTTATAACAAAACAATCTTATTACATAATTTGAAAGTTACTGTAGTTTTATGAATACTGTATCAATTAATGGAAATACTTGATTGCAATAAGAGTTGTAGTGAATCAAAACTGCTTTACCTGTAATTATTCTTGCAAATCTAGATGCTATTATTATCCTGTAAATCTCTGTTAATTTATATATTTTTTTAGGATAAATGTGAGGAAGATTACAGGAGTCAAACCTTAAATGTTTTTCGGACATCATTCCATCATCACAATCAAAAAAGTTTGAATCATAAATTTAAATGCAAACATAAGTATCACTTAAGCATTCTGGAGGAAATCAAACAGAAGTTCTGTTCAATTTTTAAAAACTGTTTACACTTTCAAATTCTTCCAGAATGCTCAAAGGAAACATATAGATGTTCTCATTGGTATTTATGATTCAAGTCCGATGATGGTGACAGAGAAGTCCTGAAAAACATTTAACTAAATAACGAGCAATTATTTATCGTGACATTGTCACAATGCTCTCCACCTCAAATTAGTAGTGTCTTGCCCCTGTACATCATACTTTTCCTGTTAGCAATAGAGTCATGTCAGCCATCTATGTAACTCCTTTCAGGGAAAATTTTTAAATCAAAATAATGTGACTTCCGGTACAAACCAGAAGTTTGTATATACAAGTTGTACTTGTAGTTAATTGGGCCTCCTGCCCCTAAGGTTTCTATATTGTGTCTCAACTTTCATTTATCTAACTTCATTTTCAAGATTAAGGAAGGACAGACGGACGAAAATAGGAATTTATAGGTCTACGATTTTTTCAAATTGCAGCACAAAAAGCTTTCTGTTATAACATTCTTAGCATTTATTTCTCCTGATATTACAGGGAGTTGGTGTACTCCAAAATTTGTCATTATATTTTTTAGATTTGTAATATAAAGTTAGTTTTTTTGTTTAGAAAAACCACAACAAATTTTGCATTTATTATTGTATTGTAAACTAGCTGTTATCCGCGGCTTCACCCGCACGGAATTTGCAATTTGATAGAAATAACCCTCCCCTCAATACTTCACTAAGATTATCAACATTAGTTGTTACTATAGAAACAAAAAATTGCATCTAAAATAGTACAGTAGAAGACGTTCTTCAGGTTAAGCCTTAATCCTCTCCCTCTCCCCTGCGGGGAAATTTCGAAAAATCCCTTCTTAATGTGCATTTTCATGACGTACCCTAATTGTGTACCAAATTTCACCTCTTTAGGTTCAGTGGTTTGCTCTGGGCGATGATGAATCAGTCAGGACATGTAATTTTATATATCATAAGTTCGGACATGTGCACTGCGTATCTCGCCACGTGGTTACATATCTCGTATACGCACCTTGCCACATGCTGACACCAAAAATATAATGCTTGTTTACCTAGATGATATCTTTTAATTTATATGAATGTTTAACGGAATAATATACAGCCTATGTCCACCCTGAAGGTCCATTCTAAATATTGGTGAAAGAATTTTTGAAATCGGATGAGTAGTTTCGGCGATTACTTCCTACATCCAAACTTACAAACTTTACCTCTTTATAATATTAGTATAGATGACCAATTGAAAAAGAAAATTGATTAAATAAATTAGAATTGATCAATTGAATAAAATCTCATCTAATATTATACAGAGACTTTCTTACAAATTTTAATGTTAGAATTTTAATAGACAAATCTAAATTAGTAATAAAAATTAGTAGCTAATTGTTAAAATATCATGAATAGTTAATTCATGTTGCACTAACAATTAATTCATGATTAGTACATATTTCTTTGAAGACCTAGGGGTTGTGACAGTAAATTTAGCTTGCAATGTTGAAAACTTGAAATGTTTCACAACTGTCTTGAACCAGAGTTGCACCAGCATGAGTTAAATACTAGAATCTGTGATTTTAATATGATGGGGCTCTGACTCACACTGGGAACAATTCAATGCAAATCCTTAATCAGATGTTCTGAGATCGAGTAATCTCATGATGGAGAACATTGAATGCCCTCCGAGATGACCCAATCTCAATATCTGTAATTTACCTCAGGAGTAGGGTATATGAAAACCAACCAAGGATTGTTGCAGAGTTGAAGCAGAACATTGGGGATAAAGTAACAACAATTCTTCCTGAAATGTTGATGAAAGTCATGCAAAGTTTTAGGGGACAATTACAAGAATGTGTACACAACAACGGATGGCACCTCAAGGATACAAAATTCAATAATTAATTATAAGTTCTATGTTAAATGCTTTGAGGTTAAGCGAAGAATGGTGATAAATTCATTTAGCAAAATTATGTAACTTTTATGTTATTGATATTAAAAACTGGCAGATTAAGCTGCCATATCCTGTAATTAATACAGGTTGAACTCTTTAATCTGGCAACCTTAGGATCTGGTCATTTCTGGACGACAGAAATAGATTTTTAAGACCCCTATGGAAATCACCTTCATAACCATATGCCTATTCCATACACATATTGCAATATTATAAATGGTAGAAACAAGCTTTAGGAAATATTACAGGCATCAATGCAACCATTAATGCTCCAAACAAAGTTTTTATTGTTTCGTGTAATATAAAACCCATAATCAAAAATACTTGTAATTCCTGTAGCTCAGATTACACCAGAAGTCATCAGAGTTTTCATGGACAGCAATATCTTCAATGTATGCAGAGTCATTAAGGTCTCTATGCTTGTCAGGTATGTTGAGGAGCAGAAAAGTGGGTTTTCTAGGTTGGAATGAGACTGAACGAGTTATTAATGACTCTCTTCAACCACTGTTGCAATTTAGTCTACTTCTAGCACTTTGATTTATCCTTAATTTATTTACTTTGAATTAAATAAACATACATAACAAATCTATCATCTATAAACTAGTGGTAGCAGATCGAAAACTTACTGGACCACAGAATGCCAGATTAAAATGTAATATAAATTTGTCAATGATTCTGTTTTTGTAATAAATGGCATTATAACTATCAAAGAATCTATACTGAAAATACTTGAATTTATCTAGAAAATGGTGATGAAATCGAAGAAATATTTTATTTGCAACATTATGAAGAAGGTTGGACTGAAGGAAAATGGGAAGAAAAAATGGACATACGCAAGTGTTTAGAAAGTCATCCCTACAGCAAAAGCAATGGAATTTATAGCGGTTGGTTTTGGGGTTATCAGGATGTGTACGCAATTAAATTTAATTGTTTATCTGTTCAAGGTTTTTCAAGTACTCTCTTGCCACTATTCACCGGAATGTCCAAAGCTAAGTAAGTACAGTTATTCTCATATTTAAGATGATCATATTAAAAAAATTAATTTATTGTTGGTATATAACCAATGTAAAGATAATAATTGCATCAATTGGAATGAATAAAATTGGTATTATAATAAGTTTCATTGGCATTCTAATTTAAAAAAAAAAAAAAATGGAACAGATACTGTCTGGAGCCTCACATAGCTCATAGTTTTTGGCAGAAATAAGTTTTTATTAGGAGTTTGATTATTTCTTTTTTACTATTGTATTTATTAGAACTTGTTATTTATTTGAAATTTAACAAATATGAACTATATAGAGCATTTATCTGATTGGACATTGCTGTGCTGATGATATTGGCTGTTCACATATCAATGATGCTCTTACATTACTTCAAAGATTTCGAAGACATCATGATGTGTCAGTATCTTTATAATTTAAAGCTCCTATATTTTTACTGGCTTTATATATTTCCATTTTTTCCAGGTGCTTTAGATGGGCTTTCTTTTGTTTTAGTTGATGTATTAGTTGTACATTATCCAGTTAGACGTGGACATGATCGTCAGTTGCAAATGCTACCAATGCTTTTGTTAAAAGATCCTTCATGATTGACTCTTGATGTTCCTTTATTTGTATGTTTAAGGAGCGAGTGTCCCAGTTTTCCTACTCTATTATATATTCATGTAAAGGAATGGAGTAGACTCCTAGTAGCACCTTATGTGAGATGGTGGTTCTTCAACCCAAAAGACCAGCTCTACTCTAAGAGCTTATCATGTGATACATTAGATACGTGGATGATGATCATATCATTTGGAGTCATAAATTTAATTTAATAAAAACCCATTCGGACTCCTCCCGAGTGTAGAGCAGGAAAGCTCTAACAGTATCCACTTCCTGGACATATAGTTCCTGATCTATACCACATCCATACCAAACTATTCCATAAACTTTCATATAGGCATCTCTTCATACTAGCAGAATCACAAGATCCATTTCTCTTCAAAATAGTAACCTTCTGGCACTAGTCAAAGAAGCCTCTGTGCATTCTACATTAGGTTAATTGCAATGAAACATAGATATTCCACACAGATTATCAGAGGTTTAATACATCAACAGCCATCACTAGCTAAGAACAAGAACCAAGAGAAAGCTTTCAAGACAGTTAGTTATGTCACACAACTGACTGCCATCCATAAAGAAATAGCCTATAAGAGAAATCGAGAAACCTATCTATCTACACTTAAAAATGCTAATGATTTGGATGACTGAAACAATCTACCAAGAATTTTCTCCATTCTGTTAATACATTGTAGAGTAGGTAAAAGGCTAAAATACATTGGGTTAGTTTATTTGGTTATGGCAATGTGACACATGGGCAAGGAGAATGCCTCCCAGGAGGTCTTATAAAGGAAACTTGCCCCTATTTACGTGTTACTAATGTAAAGAAAACCTGGAAAACTCCAAGTGGCCAGCTTGTTGTCCAGGCACAAACCCACAACCAATTATCAATGTTTAATGGTTTTATCCACTTGGCCACTGATGGGCTAGAATACATTGGGATCACAACAGATTCCTTAAATGTACAAATAAAGGAACATCAAGAGTCAATCACGAAGAGCCTTTCAAATATGGCATTGGCAGTATTTGCAACTGACGATTAGGTCCGGGTCCAGCTGGATAATGTGCAACTAATACATCACGTCCGTCTAAAGCATCTGGAAAGAATAGAAATATGTAAAGCTAACAAAAATGCAAGGACTATAAATTATAAAGAAGCACACACAATATCACCAGTTTGGAAATTTTTGTCTGAAGTAATGTAAGAACTTTTTGTTGATGTGTAAACACCCAATACTGTGAGTGCAGCAACGTCCAATCAGATAAATGTTCTATATAGTTCAAATTTGTAAATTTTGTTCTATGTCGTTAATAGATGTAAACCTGAAGACAATCCTAAAAATGATTGAAAATGTTTGTGTTTTGAATAGACTTAAATGTTTGCCGACTTTTAAAGTCGTTTAATAGTTTAGTAAATATATATATGCGTTAATAATTGTAACTGTTTTTGTTGTTTTTCCATCAGATCAATAATGATTGACAGAGCTGAAGTCATTTTGCATGATAATTATGGAGATAAAAATTATTGGGATGTAAGTATTTTAAAAATAATTGACAAACTTGATGTATAACACATATTTTACACTATATATACATATATATACAGTATATAATACAAATAAAAATTTATTTTATTTGTTAGATGATAATAAAAATATTTAAAAACCTTTAGTTTAGAAGTCACGGTTATTAATGTGAATTGTTTGAGATCATATCTTAAAAACTATTTTCAAAACATCCATTTATTGCTAAAATATATAGAGTAAAATATTATTGATAAAAATTAAAATTACAGGATTGTAAAATACCTGTAGATAAATGATAAGCACATTTCGCAGCACTGAAAATATATTTATTAAACTTTTATTGAAGAAATCAAATAGAAAGTTTAATGTATCAGTTACAGTCATATGCCTTTTTTGTTTTTTATTTTATTTTATTTTAGTTATAAGCTGTTTTGTTAAAATATTTAGACTATACTAGTTTCTTTGTTCTCACATGACTTTATCTGCATACCCGTTCTCCTTTTTTTCTACTGGTTTGTTGCCTAAGGAGGAATAAACACAGCAGGAGTGGAATTTGGGCGTGGTGTATACGTGGTATATATATACTGATAGATACGATCTCAAACAATTCACATTAATTCCATTCCTGCTGTATATATAGTCCCTTTGTTTCATATATATATGAAACAAAGGGACTAGTAGGAGTTTATAGGACGAGGGCACCTTTTGCATCCTTGTCCTGTAGACTCCTACTCATGGTACTCAGCTGGCAATGACATTGCTCAACCCCTGCATGGTGTATATATGTATATATACTTATATACAAATATCTCTAAACCTGATAAATTGATGCCTAGTGCTAAGCCAACACTGTAATAATATTTTTTTAAATTGAATTTTTTAAAGGTTGTTTGTAAGTAAACAATTTATGTAATGTTTACAGATTAGAAGGAGTATGCGATTTGCATCCACCTTGATAGAAATTGGTAATAAATTTCGTCGCGAATATTTAAATTCTTCTGACGACACAGACAAAACCATATTAGATGATGACTGGCAGAAAGTAAAAGCAAGAAATAGTAGATCGGCAATGGGCGGTCCTTATATTGCAGTTCATTTGAGAAGACAAGACTTCGTCCGCAGTCGACCGACGGAGATTCCCAGTATTAAATATGCATCGGAACAGATAACAAAGATACTGAAAAAGTATTCTCTATTGAAAGTGTTTGTTGCAACAGATGCACCAAATTATGGTTAGTATGAACTTGATAGAATATCAGTATTTCAAATATATATACAAATATAACCATGTATTAATCCAGTTTTTAATTAATGCCGAATGATTGCTGGATTACATTAGGCTTGAATAAGGCCATTAATAATTAAATATAAACTATTTTAGCCTAGAATGGATAGTGTAACTGGCAATGTCTTTTATAGTATGTGAGAGTTGCAGGTTTGAGTCCTGCTCTGGGATGATTCTTTCCTTTATTAATGTTTGGTAATTAATTTAATTATTATTATTAAATTTATCGAGAGATGGTGCCGAACACCTACCTCTAGGACAAATTACTTGATATTTAATTATTAAATAGTAGCGTTATTATAGTCCAATGTAATCTGGCAGTTATTTGGCATTTAGATATAAGTTTTGAAGTACAAAACTTATCCCTATCTAATGCTATCTAGATGAGATTTAATTTAGCATGGTATTTCAGTGGAAGATATTACAATAGGATCAGCATACCAGAGACCATAAAAAAGAAAAAATTAGTACCAAACTCACCACCATGGCACTTTTGTTGCTTCAGATCCATGCAATTTTGGTTGTGGATACATTAAAAACTATGGTTTATTGAGAACACGTTGTGAATATGCCAGCCTTGTTAATTTTGCATGGCACTGCACTTTAGAAGCATCACAGAGGGTTAATTTTGATCGGTTGTTGAACACACTATTCATTTCCTTCAAGTTAGGGACTATGTTGCATTGCTAAGATTTCTGTATAGCATGAGTGTCGCACAAATAAAATGTTTGTTTCCTGCAGTGCCAAAAATGCCATAGTAGTGAGTTTTATTACAAATTTTTTATGCAAATATCTTTTTGAGTCTTGAAATGTCACCATTCCAAATTTGGTTGTATTTGGACTGCTAAATATCTCTCTAGACAGTGGGATAGTTTAATTATGATTAATTACTATATTAAATTTAAGCCAATGAAAGAAACATTAAAGCTATATTGTAAAAATTATATTCAATAGATGAATTGATTAAACTATACAAGTTCTCTCTTTCGAAACCAATGGTCAACTAACCATATTTTTCTTTGTTCCTGTCTGAGCTGGGACTTGCATATTATGAAAGTTAATTACGATCATATATAAAGAATAAAGTTACTAGAACACAACCAATATAAAACAAATAATACATGTCATATAACCCCATCTATAAGATGAGATCATTGAGCTTTTAAGGGTGGCTGAGGAGGGTACAAGATTTGATTATATTGTCTCATATTTCTTAAAATATAAGTCTTTTAAGATAGGAAGTTTAATAAGTACTGTTTCCTGTTAGAGTTGTCTTTTTATATAATAATATTTGCTAAAATAAATTTAAAATCATAAAAAGTTTCTAGGATTTCCACTTTCTGCTGCTTAACCCTAGCATTGTACTGTACTCTGATGCAATATATAATTTTTTTTATATATGTAACTAGAAACATTTATATAATTTAATGAAGAGTGATAGAAAGATAAAAGAAAGTGCTCTAAATTAAAAATAACAGAGCAAATTAATAAAAATAAATATTAGAAGGGAATTCAAAGTTAAGAATTATCGTACGTAATGAAAGAATGATGCTAAAAAAACAGTGTATCATCTAAGAAAACTGACAAATTATGGGATTTAATAAATAAAAGTTGCCTAAACATTACTGAAGCTTTACTACATTTGTAAGTTTNCTATCTTGGCATACTTCAGATTACAGTAAGGTGGCACCAATCCGAATTCCTTGTAATCCAGTTTTTACCATTCCCCTAAACTAAAACAATGGATTGTCAACTGTACACTTCCACTAATTTTTAAATCAAAATGTGGTACTCTTAATACAGCAAATCTACTGACAAACGTTACTTGCAGTTACTAATGCCAAGACAGATGAGAGCAGAGTTGCCAGATTTAGCGCGTTTTTGCTTAAAATTAATTATAATTTCTTGCTTTGTTTAGTTAAAACTCTAGAGTTTTAACTAAAGGCTTTTTTTTTGGCAAGATTTAACATTAAACAGCGAAGAAATCAGTTTTAACTACTTATAGAGCAAGCCAGTGCTTTTGGGCTCATATCTATCACTTTCAGTTTTTCCAAAATATTATAAATTGTATAAACCTGTACGTTTAAAGTCCTTTAGCCTTTCTTCCAAAGTAACATTAGAGATTGTAGGGGTTATCCTTTCTTCCTAAGCAACATTACATCACATAACCCCACAAAAAAGACATCCAGTGGGGTTATGTCGCGCAATTTAGTGGACTAGAGTATTGGTCCCCAATTTATCGTCAAGGAAACACTGTATCGAGCAAATTACATAAGGAAAGGGCATAGTGAGGGAACGCACCCGTGTAATTAAGACGTTGAAATTAAAGGATTCCCGACAGCGTGTCTTTTTTTTTTTTAAATTTCGACATTAGTTCCTCCGAGTGCCCTTAGATGACGCTGACCGATGACACCGGCTGAAAATTAAAATCGCCCTCGTTTTCGAGATATGGCCTGCCAAAGAGGGCGCTTTTCTCCACCAAATTACACTAGAGTTTATTAACTTTTGAAACTATTTTTGTATTTTTAATGCTTCTGTCAACGGACTGAGGTAATAAATAAACGATGCCCAAATTGGTTCTACTATAATAAATGTAAACAAAATATTATCCGCATTCTTAAAATATATGCTCTCCACCTCAAAATAGCACTGTAGCGTCATGCCCCTATATCATACTTATCCTTTGATAATGGAGTCGTGCCGGTCATCTAGTAACTGCTTTTGAGGGAAAAGTTTTGTATTGAAATAAGGTCACTTTCGGTTTGCATCGGAAGTTCTTATATAGTTATTCAAGGCATCCTACCCTTAAGTTTTCCATAACTTATCTATGCGCCACCGTTCCCGAACCGAAATATTCCGGAAATTTTATCACAAGCGACTTTATACGGAAGAGGGCGCTTCGAGGTTTCTTTTGCTCTCCATTTCAAGATGACTGCGGATCCGATCGATAGTCGGTCGCTTCTCTGCCGCATCCCATGCAGACGCGTTCTTTGGGCAGGAAGAATTGCTCCGTGACCGAAGGGAAAGCTGAAGCACCCTTCTTTTTCCATCTGTCGTTTCCGACTTCCGTTCTTCGACCCGATCGCGGAAATTCGGCGTTTCCCGGCGCGACGCGGCGCGTCGTTTCGATCGGACGGAAGATCGATGGAGACGGAAGCATCCGCCGACTAACGGTTGTGACGAAGGCGGAAAAAAGGGAGGAGAATCTCGGACGAGGACGCGGGCCAAATTACATTTTCTCCTACTCGAGATGTCGTCTCGCTCCTTCCCGAAATTTTCACGCCGTCCTCCGCTCTTTTCCGTCGGTCCGGCGCGCTCGCTGGTGGATGGGAAGGAGACTTCGGAAGTCGGAAAATCCATCACCCGATTCCCGGAAAATTGAGAAATTCTTCTCTTCCGGGGAGCTTAGGAGCATCTTCCCGGAAAGCCGGAAGGAAACGAGGGTCGGGAGGGAGTTTCGACAGGAGAGAGAGAGAAAAGAGAAGACACTTACTTGGATCCGAAGTGCGCTCTCGCCGTTTCACGCCGAAGCGGAGGCTGCGGCGGCGCCGGACCAACCTCCCTCCCACTGCGCCGGTCGGCGGGGGAAAGATTCCGTTCCACCCCCTCCGGATCCTAAACCGGAAGCGCAGGATCGACTCGGAAGGCCGGCGGAAACGTAAGTTTCCGACGGGAGAAATCGATCGTTCGGAACCGGATATCACCCTCGGATCGACGCGTCTTCCTTCCGGTTTTTACGACGAAATCCACAAATATCCGTAACAGGTTAAGTAGATTTATTAATGAATAATGAGTTAAGGGGTAATCCATAGACTTCTATTGTTAAATCAATCAAACGACTGTAGAAAATCGCTCCGTTCTGAAGACTTTTTTCTTCCGTTTTGGACAGGTTTTACTGTATATTAATTAAAACATTACGTCCGATCATTTGTACCGGATTTATCTACCGAAATTCTCGTTTGTACAGCAATATTTTGTGAATTAAAACCGAATTATTAACCTTGACCTACATTTATCGGTTTTTCTGCAAAGTTGATTGTTTGTACCAACAAAAATTTAACAGTACGTGGCCTGGTTAAATTGCCACTTATGTAAAATGGTTCAATGAGGCGATTTTCTTAGGATCCACGACCACACATTTATGCACTACTTATGTACTTTTGTATGTACAGTACCGTACACATGGCCCAAATTTTACAATTGTGTGGGTTCCCATAGCCATTCTCATTAAATTTAGCTTCGTCCGAAAGGCTATACCATAATCCTGCGTGGATCCTCTTTATAAAAACTTGCATACAAAGTATATACAGTAAAACCTGTTCAAAACGGAAAAGATATTGGATACCGTGCGATTCCGTTGTACACAGGTTTTACTATATGTATGGTTAGACGTGATTCAAGATGAGTTTGGAAAAAGTCTCTTATCAAAATAAAGATTTAAGTGCTGTAAACTCATGCAGGCACCTTTGAAACACGTGTGCTACAGGTTACGTGTGAACTTGTTAAATATGTCGTCTATAATTTTTACTTTAGTAAGCTTTTTGTCATTTTATAATAAGTATTTTAAGTAAAATATTATAACTGATGGAGCTACACGCAGTTTTACTAATGGTTAGTTTTATTTGATCTCAATGGATTTTCATTGGATGTACGAAATAAAGTGTAAGCTTATTTGTTATGTACAGCTGTTTTATATACTTTTAGTTTTTATAGTATGGTATAACATACAAATACGTTGGGAGCGGGGCAGTTTATCTGTACAAATATATTTGGGGGATGGATGACCCTCTGTCCCGTATAGACATTTAAATGTTCTTCAATGAGATCACTTCTATCGGGTCTTAGAAAGCCGCCAACGCCATTATTCCGGTGTTATTTTTCTATAGTAAAGGTAATTTCCAGTTATAGTAGAACACCGATTATCCGAACCACTAGTTGTCCTCCCCTTTCTCTCTCACTGATGTCACATTGCAATTATCTTACCTCAGTGCACGATCATTCACTCCTATTTGCTGACAGATCCGAATGATCGGTAGGATGCTACTCGCACATTGAATAAATACAGTACATGCCAGAGCAGACCAAGCACCGAGTGCAACCTAGTTTTGAGGCCCCCTTATTCAGTAGCGGATTACGTTCCTTTCAGATCCTAGATGAAATTCCGAACTCCAGGAGAACTGAGCCGAGCTGACTGTCAAAATATTGAGCCGTAGCTCAGCTCAATTCATTTGGTAAAACTCAATACGATCCCTTTTCCCGAAATGTCCATATGTATATACAAAGACAAAAGAAAATTATCTAAAAGAAGGTTTATTTTCGTAATTTATTCGCGACAAAAAAAAAAGGAAAGATTGGTGCGGCCCACAGAAATTCATTAAATATGCAACTGTTAATAAATTAGAGGGTGCGAATGGCGTCCCTTAAGTAGTGGCGCTCGGAGCGGTTAAGGCACGCGTAGCGTCGAAAGACCAAGGGTCGGACGGAACGGGACGATCGGGAGGTCGGTAGTCGTCTCTCTTCCGGAACTGAGGAGGGAGGGAGAGGAGCGGAAGTTCCCAGTCACTCGTCCATTTCTTCCAATCTGCAGTGAATGGCCGTATCCACCACTTCTAGACCCGCGTAGTCCAGTTCTTTGATAAGGCACAGGACAGCCGACAGGATGTTCGAATTCTGAAAAACCAAGAGGTATACTAAGTTATATTCGTTGAAAAACTAAAAGATTAAGGCTGTGGTTTACAATAAAACAATTAAATCAATTGTGGTTTGCGCGTTAAACCGGGTACAGAGTTAGTCTCGCCGCTCGCATCATTATCCTCCTTGGAATCTCTGCCTTGTGAGCATTAAGAGGACGGATAAATTCAGGATGGACCAACCACCGAAAAATTCCTCGGGAAATCTTTCTACAATAAACTTGTCCTTAGATGTTTAAACAGTGAAGAAAACCCGGAGCCAGACCGTTATTCGGGCACGAAACCACAAACAGTAAGTAATCAGCGCTCGGTGGTTTTTATCCACTCGAGCCACTGATGAGCCTGGTAATAAAAGGAGAAATTTCTTACCCTGTTTCTTCCTCCTTTCGATAAGTATCGAGCGTTCCATATTTTATCGCTCTTCTGAAGAGAATTTCCTCCCATTCGCCTAACGTCTGCTACTTGAAAATTAGGACTTCTGCATCTTTTAATATACTCGGAACTTTCCGAATCGTGAGACCTGTAACTGTCACTGACGGAAATAATCCCGTCGGGTTCGGAATCGCTGTGAGACATCTGAGAACGTCTGGGCGAAGCTGGACTGTATTGCTGCTCCTTGTTATCGCAGGCATCGTTATTCGTAGGGGATGGTTTGCCAGAATGATCGACTAACGTCTTAACCTTGGCCTGAAAAACGTGTTGGGGAGATTCCGGAAAATTATTTATATTATGGTCGCTGACGATGTTGACGTTTTGATGATCGTAATTTTCTATTATTAAGGAAGACGTCGAAATACTATTTTTCATATTGGAATTCACGTTTACATCTCCGTTTCTGTGAGATTCGGATATACTGTACGTGGAGCAAAGAGTGTTATTACATTATATGGCTAATTTACTAGAATACATGGTGTTGGCTTAGAGGTTTAATAAGAGAGAGAGAAAATTGATTGTAATTTAATGAAAAACCTGGGCAGATTTTTAACATCTAAACACACTTCAATGTGTGCACCAACAGTGGCAAATTCTGTGTCTCCGATCAATCCCACCAGCGGGGTAAGAACCAATCTATCTTCTGGGAAACTTCGTTCAGAAACTGTTTTATTAAATCGCAAAAGAGAAGCCACATCTTATTGGGTGCCAAGAGGAAGTCGAGGAATAGCGTAAGTTGCAGCAGGTCCAAATAACTCGATCCTTCGTAAACGTGTACCTAATTTGCCAGGTATGGTATGGTATTCCTCAGAAATATCAAGATAAAATACACCTCTAAGCCTGACACCCTATATTTATATTGAAAAAATCGAATGCGTACCTCCTGTATTCCTTCTTATCGATCTCGTTATTGATGTCTTTATTTATTTTATTGTCTTCGATATCCACTTCTATATATTTCTTTTCTTCCGCCTGTCTGGAAAAATTCTCCTCCTTTTCGGAAGATACTGATTCCTTGTTTATTTCTAAAGGATGTTTCAAGGGTACTCCGTATAACTTTGCGTATTCGACTTCTTCCGTTTGAACCGCTAATCCAAAGAAAATTAAATTAAAATCTAAAGAAAAAATATATATATATATAATTAATAATTTACTACATTATTTTTGTCTTACCGACGTTATCTAATTTTTTAAGAAAGGGCAACGTGTGAAGCACCGATATACGGTATTTTTCGCAATTGGTACATGGATTATCGGCTAACCATAAGCTTCGAAGATTGGGCAACTCTTGCAAGTAACATACTTCGTTCAGGTTCGTAATATTATTTTTCCGAATGTACAGTTCCTGGAGATTCTTGCAGTGTGCAAAGTCGGCCAATGTATTAATGCAATTTACACTGAAATAAATTTGAAAATTGTTTTTAATTTACCAGTCCAAATAGTAATTCAAACATTATCTATGATTTGCACTTAATTTTTTTTGCTGTAGGGATGATTTGGATGTTGGATCCTTCCCCCTTGTAAATGGGGAAGGATCCAACATCCTCGTTTCTCATAAATCTATAAAGATTTTGTTATGTTTTTAGTTTTTATGCTAGAATTACGAAACCGTGATGCGTAACCTTCACTCGTTTCTATTTATCCTTAATCGCAGGCAGAAATGCATCAATTTTTTTCAGACCCTTCAATTATAGCAACTTCTATAACAGGTTTAGCAGTCGATCAACTTTAATTTCTAATTACCTTTACAGACAACTCATTGTCTACAAAATGACATACCACCTACAAAATGCCAACTTTCAACTCTATTATAAAGGTTATACAACTTATTTTATGTAAAATATTCCTTCTTGTAATCAAAATATGCCAATTAGTTTAGTTATTAAACCATGTAATAATTGTATTAAAAACATAAACCAAAAAAAAAAAAAAATTCTATATAGTGAGGACATTCATAGTTGGTTTTTCATTAGTAAATGCTCTAGAATTTTGGCTCGGAACAGCAGTGTGCCATGGAACACCGGTTGAGGATTACTAGTGTTTACAGACAGTGATAGGACACAATAAAATGTAGCCATTTTGAAATCGTTCCGAGTCCCTCTTAAGAAAAATTCTGCCATCAATAACAGTTTCCATATCTAACCCATTCCATAAAGAATTTACATTGTTATCACACAAAGCAAATAATTCGGAGATGTCGAGGCGGGAGGTAACCAACGAATTGAGCGAAATTTAGCACGCATTCTGAGGCAAAACAAGACATTTTGCAAGACAGTATCTTTTCCTCGTGGTAGAGAAACATACCCTTCATTTGCATCCACTAAGTCTTAATGACGAATGCATGATAAAACCGAAATTTTAATGTAACCTATACGTTAAAGCAAACCAACTTCCTTGGCCAAGCACTTCTTTAATAAGTGGTACTAATGTTGGTAGAAGTCTGGCAACTCATCCTGCGTTGTTATCATGGAAAGCCCAGCACTTTAGTAGTCAGAGGTGAGGCGTCACTGCCAATACCTTCAAATCTACTGTTCAAAACATAATATATGCAGCCAACATGCAGTTTAAAAAGGTTTATTATTTCAAACATTCCATTTTCTTCCTCATTTTCATTTCCATTAGAAATTTATTGTAGTACTGTATATGTGAAATAGAACTGATTAAATTGCCCATTTTGTATCATTTCAATAAAAATGGTAATATATTATTATTATTGTAGGATTGTATCCAACTGGATTAATACCAGTGTTTAGCAGTATTGTGTAAAATGATTCATTTGAATGTTCTGAAACCTTTGAATCAACTAAGGATCGACTCACTGTTTGGATGTATGATTCATTGATGAAATCACACGGCGCACAGTGAGACAGAAAAATCAAATGTATATTATTGTGTGACACTGTATTTACTTCTTTGATTTTAAAGCTATCATTACTGGTCTAATATATTTTTGCTGATCTCACTACAGTATTTACTGTGTTTGATGTTTTTTTTACCTCTAAGGTATCAAAGTATTTGTAACTTTCTTCAGATGGTAAGCTCTATTTCACTGGCACTTACACACTTTCACTAGTCTTTTATCTCTTTACCAACAGAAATACACATTTATCTAGTCCAAAGTCCATTGCAATATCATTACTAAAGATTAAGTATAAATAAGCAGAAGAATATTTCAAGGAAACTAATCCTGTTGTTATATAGAGGAATATATCAATGGATATTCCTCCGCACGTTAGCTAGCCTACTTCATCATTTGCTGTCGATTGTGTTTTTCTGATTTTCATTGCATTTTTGACCAATTCAATTGCTTCTAAATAGTGAAGTATTCAGTTGTGTGGATGAGAATCAAAGGCATTCCTGTCTTCTATTCAGGCTCTATGTAAATTTGTTCTTTGCTTGCAATTACCGAAGATTATCTTGTCTATGAGCAATTCATCCATCATACGTCTATTCTTTCATCTGTTTCCTTTCTGTTTAAATGGCAGCAAGTTATTTTATCCTAAATGATCTTATCTTGCATTTGAAATTATTTCCGTTGAGAGCGTAACCCTTACTGTGTTTGTGGCTGATCTCACAGATATATCTAGTATTGCTTTGCCACTTCTTTGTTAGATAAAACTGTTTTTCTCAACATTACCTTAAATTTTATCTGAGAGAATATCTATTAAACCTATTACGATATTTGGATATTTTTTAAACTTTTTTCATTTTCTGTTTGAAGATGGAGAATATTGCATACTGAATTGACAATGATAAAAACATTGAAGAATTGCATATGATGATAATTGAATTAGATGATGAAATTTCATGATTAAATCTGAAAATCAAAGTGATGTTAGTGAAAAGAGTGTGGTGGCAAAAATGCAGAAAATTCCAATACTAGGACTTGTTATTTCTTCAGTATACCCATAGTAAACCCTGTTGTTCGTCAAATTGCAATTTAGCAAGTAAAAGACTTCCTAGAAATATTTTCTATCTAATTACCCTTACCAAAAAAAAACAAAAATAAAGGAACTAAGGAAGCCTATTTATTTGTTTGGTATATTACTATTATTTTTTTTTGCAATTATTTTCTCTTTATAGAGTGAAAACACTTCATATTTAAGAATTTTCTTTGAATCTTCTCTGATTGATCAATATGGTAACAGGAAAAGATCACTTTTCAAGATGGTAGCATTGTATACATCAAGTGAATATGAATATATCACAGTTTTAGCCAAAATATATGCATAATTCAATTCCAAATTATTGTGTGCATTTTTTCTTAACGCAGCAAAACCTGTCATTTAACTGTTTAAGCACGTTTCTCCACAATACTGTAATAATTATATTGACTGTTGCAGGTCATTAGATAACTCAATGTCAATCAGTTTAATGTGAAAGTCATAGTTGTGTTCAATCAAAGGAATGTTTTATCCAAAACTTGTGGCTTTCATAGACTTCTTAGTTCTTTAGAAAATCACAATAACCAAGAAATGTATTTTGTATAACAATAACTTGAGTAAAAGTTCATAATAATGAGTCAAAAGATTGACCAAAACTCTTGTGTGTAGCATAAGGATATATGTCATAACTATGTCCACATTTGACCCACTGGATAGATTTTGTGGGACAGAAGTTACAGAACTCCTATGTGAACTCTGTGAGCCATTAGGGAAAATCTACTGTCAAATTCATTGGATGTATCTCAAATATCTCAAAATGGATCCATAGACTTATATCCTTCTTGAACAGACCAGACCTCTTCATATAAAATGTTCCACGTAAAATCAAATCAAAGTGTGTTACTTTTCATATTGATAATAAACATCAATTGTACCAATAAATTTCTATGAAGATTTTATATATGTTTATAATAAATGTAATCAGAATTATAAGGCAGACATTGTGTTAAAACAACATATATTTTGAATCTGACATTTAATTAAAATAGACATTTAAATGTTTATAACTATTTCTACAATATGTTATTGCATGTTACTGTGATATATTCTAAATATATTTGATAATTTCTTATTCTTAAAATGTTAAATTTTGTATAAAGTCTTACAGAATACATTATTTAAAGCTACTTTAATTCTTCACATTACGAACTGATTAAAAAAAATTTCATAGCTTTACTATTTTGTATCACTGTACAGTACTTGTTGAGTGATACATCACAACAACTGCTAAACCCACAGAGTAAATTTTTTTATTTTCTTTTTAGCAAATGGAAGTGTGATAATATTTCACTATTCTCAATATCATATGCAGGTTACTTTATCATTAGCAATGCAATGCTCTATAATGATTTTGCAAATCACATCTATGATAAATCATTAAACTGTCATAAACCTGTCATTAGCAACATCATTGTAAATGCAGTCCTAAACTAGCTTAGTAAAATATACAGGGTGTATCAGTACAGCGGTTACAAACTTTTAGGAGAGATAGAGTACACCTAGACGATGGGAAATCACATAGCTATGCATGGTCGGAAACGCTTTCCTAGCACGGTAGTGACGACACAAAATGCAAGAAAGGAAGGACACGAAAAGGGTGAGAAAACATGTGTATTGATCTTAGTACAGCAAAAATCAAAGGTGTTCAAAATTACGATCCCGAGCTGTGATGCAGCCAAAGATGACCCAGCATTTTTGTTGAACTAAGAATAATAAACATGTTTTCTCACCCTTTTCGTGTCCTTCCTTTCTTGCGTTTTGTGTCGTCACTACCGTGCTAGGAAAGCGTTTCCGACCATGCATTGCTATGTGATTTCCCATCGTCTAGGTGTACTCTATCTGTCCTGAAAGTTTGTAACTGCTTACTGATACATCCTGTATATATTATGTTTTAAAAAAAATTGTTTCTTTAAGAAATACACTATTTTATTTCATAAAATAAAAAATGTAAACTTCACAATTTAATCACTAACTGTTAATAAATATAAAAAGATTTAGTTATTTATTCTAATACCATTTCATTCCAGAATTGTAATTACATATAATAACAATAATATTGACAAAATATTACCTCAGTGAAAGTACTTCCACATTTGGCATTTTTCTAATTATACTAATATTCATTAATTCACTTCCCCTATTATAAAAAAAGTGAAAAATGTTATTTAAAAAGAAATACTTAAACATATAAATAATATACGAAAAATAAAATAACAATTGACAATATACTCGTATATATGTAAATCATACGTAAGTTTAGAAGTAACTTCAACATTCGTATTTAAATATATCTTATTGATATCCAGCAATGAGTTTAATATACTAAAAATGTTTTTGACTTATTAAAAGCATACAGAATTTGAATAAATTAATGGACTGAGCTCATAAGCAATTGTCAAAATTTAAAATACAGTCGACCCCCCTATAACACTGTTGATAATTCCGTTTTATATGAATTCCATGTTGTAGGAGTCACTTAGATTTTACAAATACGTGTGCCGGGCTGTGAACGGCTCACGTATTTGTAAAATCTAAGTGACTCCTACAACATGGAATTCATATAAAATGGAATTATCAACAGCATTATAGGGGGTCGACTGTAGTTTATATAAGATTTGCTTATTTTACAATGGTTAACAATCTTTTATCCAGCAAATTTATAAATTAGAGAAGGAATGAGCGATTTTGGCAGCATTTATAAGCCGTCCTCGAGTTCAAACAAAACAATAAACAATTACGCTGTAGAATGTCGTGCGAATAAATTAATTTAACATACGTTTGAATTTAAAATTCAGCATACAATTTAAATTAGTCTAAAAGTCTTACTTAAAAAATTTATAATAATTTTTTTTTCAAACTAATGAACTATTTAATGAATATTTCAGTCTATCTTATCAAATAATATGCTTATATAATCGTAACTGTGTGATAATATATACACACACCTATTAACAAAATTAACATACAATTTAATATTAAACAATTAAATCATTTAAATTTAAAATTGAATCAATTTAGGCACATAACATTCTACATTGTAACTGTTTATTTTTGTTGTTAGAGCAAAAGATGGTCAATAAATGAAAGCAAAAATGATTGTTATTTCATCAATTTACTGATTTACTGGATTAAACGTTGTTGAATATTATATTGTAGACATCCAGTTTGTCAGTCTTATGCATTGGCTTTATTTTGATATGAAAATATAGCATCAAAAAATACTTAATCTATAAACATTTCATTTCTTCTTACTTGATTTCTACTCCTAAAGTTTCTTTTATTATCTGCATTTCTACATCGAAAAGAATATCATCTTTAGTTTTAATTATGCTAATCTTACAAATCCATACTCCTTCAATATACATCCAAAAGAAAAAAAATTGAGGTTCAAATTTGGGAAATTGGATGGTCATGCTGTCACAAATCCACTGACATAGCAAACGTTTATTGAGAAAATCCTGGATATCTGTTTTGGCATTTCATTAAACATCTAATGCAGGGGTGGCTAACATACGGCCCGCGGGCCGGATCTGGCCCGTCTAATGAATGGCCCATGATTAATCTTTCAATATTAGCTACTTAAGACCGAACAGATCGACGAAAAATTCTGATGAAGGAAAGGTCAACAACTCACTGTGCGTTCAGAGCCAACACTCCATTATAAATGTCTTAAGCACAGTGTAGAATGTCAATAATGCATGATAATGTGAAAAATGTATGTGTAATCTCTATGTACAATTTAATCTCTACGGGGTGACACCACAATGAGATCTCGCACCACCTGAAAATCTTCCTAGGGCAGCCTCTGGTTCGGCCCATGGGCAAAAACTCTTGGCCACCCCTGATCTAATGTTTATTCTACCCGATCTGCAAGTCAAATCTTGAATCATCATTGCAGTTATCAAAGTGATAATAGATACACTGCTTTAAGTTCTGTAAGAAATTGAATTCCGGTGGGATGTCTGCTATATCACCAATGGCATTCACAGCAAACCAAAATGACCAAGGTAAAACTTTGGTTTTTTGTTATAAATTAACTCCTCAACTGATTCTTTATGTCTTCTGATTAAAATTCTACAAGCATTCAAGGTTATAAAGTCTTTTTTGAATCACTGTTTTCTTAAAATCGATTTATAAGAAAAACTACAAATGTAACTTGTTAGAACATTTTTAAATTTCTAATAAGATAAATTAAATCAAGATATACATATGTGTATGATACAGTTATACAGGGCAATCGTGAAGTCTCTGTAAATTGGCAGGGAAATAGGGGGAGCTTCCCGGAATGAAGCAATGACTTGACAGGCAGACTGCACGTCAAAACAGTTAAAGTTATGACGTCACCACTCGGCTGAGCCACACGGGAACGGTCCACTACAAAGGGACTTGACAATCACACTGCATGAAGTTTTTAAATACATAATGCATAATAAATAAATACATAAAAGTAACTAATATAAGTGTATGTTCGTGCTTCAAAAATATATTTCCACACCTTAGAAAGAGTGTTCACATACTGGAAATTAAAAGGTATGTTTCCTTACCTAATTGCAATAAATCCAGTTTGCCTTGAGACTATTTTGAAATGCATTGCTTTGACAAATTTAGAATCTGAATGTTTTTAAAAGTATAAAATATATTTTGTAATATATTACTTGAAGAAGTAGAATTGTTTGAGCCATTTTATCTTATTGTAAATGAATTCCAATAAAACAATACTTCTAGCGGTCCTATACTTTCGTACCTAATTGATTACTGAAATTTGTATGAAAGTAGAGCAATGTAAAAAAAACATAAAGTGTTTTCAAAATATTTATTTTTTATTGATTATTATCTAGTGTTTCTTTATAAATTTGCCAATAGATAATTGAACTGTACTCTTCTTTTTCTTTTCTTGATGGAGTTCTGTAACATGCTGTGTCTTTTTCTATTGCCCTTAGTACATAAGATACAAGCTCTCGATTATATGGAGGTTATGAGACTTTGATTTATTTTTGTCTGTGTCAACACTGCTGCTTTTTTTTCTTTCTTGTTTTTCACTCATGTTTATGAATTAAAAGGGACGAATTTTTTCACTAAAACAGAAAAGTATGTAAATTGATAGCACATGTCCTAACATAAACTGACAAGACACAACTTATAAACACTAGTGCTAACTCAAGATGTTCCTGCAAGACTGAATCCGTGATGCCGAAAAGGAACATGGTTAATGTCAGAGAGGTGGGGAGAGACTAGTGATTAATAATTCTCCCCTTCTCACGAACGATTACATGAAAGTGTACTCATTTTGCTATATGGATTGATAAAAATCGAAAGTACGAAATGTGTATGCAATAGCAAATTCTATGAAATTAGAAGACCGTCTGTTAAAAGCATTAAAAATTTGACATTCTTATCAATTTAAATGACTACACTTCAAAGTATCCCTGAATCAAATAAAGTCTCAGCAATAATCTCAAATTTGCGATTTCTGCTGTTTAAATCGCCGATAATTTAAAATTAAATTTTACCATTCTTATATTTTTCATATATTGCAAAAAATAGTTACTAAATACTTATAAATTAAATCTTTAAATGGATACTATGTATATACTCATGTAAACTTTAGTTTTTCTTTACAATATTACAGATATATATTTCAACTTTGACACATGACGTCATATATTTACATAAGAGACTGCTGCAAGGATGAGCAAATCAATAAATCCTCCAATTTTCTCTAAGAATTTGCTTTGTTTGAAAAGATCAAGAGTGAGTCACATGGGGTAGATAAGAAAAACAAATAATTTGCAATTCACATATTCATGACTTTTATGATATAATGTGTTTAATAATAACTACAATAATAAATTTAACGGTTATTATAATTACAGATAATTATACAAACACGCCTTTCAGCACTCACTTAAAATAACTCCTTTGTATTTGGACGATTTCTAACCCGAAGCAGGTCTTTAAATCAAGCCGAAAATATTTGTTTGAAATATTAAGTGAGTGATTGAAATTCATGAAAAGTGTTTGTATAATTTAACAAAAATTCCAACTTTTAATAGAAAGTTTAATCATAGATAATATTAGTAAATCTACAAAAATATTAAGGAAACTATTACAAGATAAGAATTTTGGTTTATTGTTATTATTTATTCATCTTTCAGTTTTAAAATTTGTCTAAATTGGACTAACAATTGTTAAAAATATCTAGAATATAAATGCATGCCATATAATAACACAAACTAATGATGGACTCTATCTATCTTTCACTTACAAGATATCAGACCAAAGGTGGGAATCCTTTTTTTAATTTAAAAACCACATCCTGTTTCAGAAAGAACAGTAAAGATACAAGATGTATTACGGGTTGCATAAGTACACACAAACATTAATAATATATATAAGTTGTATTTAGAGAGACGNCCTTCCTCTTTCTGTTTACATTCCGTCTACGCCACCTGTCGGACGAAAACGACGGAATGTTTGTGTAAATTTTCTTCCCGACTATCGGCTGGTTTCGTAAAAAAAAAAAATTAAAAAAAATTTAATATTTTATACGATAAAATTATTTAAATTTAAAAAATAAAATTAAAACGATAAATTACATACGTTCTAATTTTTATAATTTAAATTTTAATGTGTCCGGAAATTCCAATGTGAATCATAAGGCGCATGTCGGATTTTGTCTCAAGGGAGGTAGCCACATATATGACTTTTATAACATTAACAAATCAATTGATTCACTAAAATCATATTCCTTAAGACAGATTTCTTTTCATTCACACCATTTTCATCTATTTTTATTCTTTATTAGATCTAATAAATATGCATAAAAACAAAGAAAATATTTTTCATATTTACAGCTTACACGTATCAATATACCACAATGTAAAACTATATTAATTTACTTTCTAAACATTCTAATGAACTCCTGTCAGAAATATCATCATATTATAAAAAAAATAAATAAAATGTAGGACGTGTATATGATATAATTTTAATTTTGCTAGATGTTCATCTTACTGCCATTACATTCATTAATATTAGAGAATTATAATTTATGAATAACATTACTAAGAATTCTGCATGATCTGATACGAAAATGGGGGGGATACTAACCTTAATATCACTGCTGTTGTTAACTTCATAATTTTATTTCATTCTGTTTTGAATTGTCCCTACATTCTATTTGTATGCCAATACAAATCCAATAATGTTTCTATTTCTGGAGCATCGTAGCTCTCAAGATACTCGGAATACAATATAGTATCAAGGTTTCCACCACAGTGGTTCTCAATCTAATTTAACACAGAAAATCCTAAACCTCAATCTAATTTAACCAAAATCCTATCCACAATCCATTCCCACCACAGTTAAGCTATAATTTTCTAGTCCCATAACCTAAAAAATTATATATTTCAGTAGTATATTGTCGTTAGAGATTCTGTGAGATAAAAATACATATTTCTTCACAGTATCTCATCGTTCTGCAGAACCAGTTCGTATAATTGTTTGGAAAAGGTCTATAAATTTGTCCGATTGTTTCAGTAACATTTTACAGTTTATTTCGAGTATTATGTAAATTAAAAGCTAGAAATAAGAATTCTATTTTAAATACATATTTTACCGTGTGGATAAAAAAACAGACACTTGCCTAAATTTCATTTAAACAATTAAAATTACCATTTTAAATACATCCCACAACAACAAAACATCACATTGGAAATAATTACGTTAGATAAAGATCTGAATAATTAAATAACACGTTAAAAGGTTACCCTAAATCCTTACGCAAATGGAACAATTCTGCATTAATTAAAGTTTTGGCAAACGCATTAACGTCCAGAAAAGAAATGTACCAGTATTAACAAGGTCGGCAGCATAGCAAAAAAGGAAGGTAACCCCACCCGTTACGTCCCACTTTCGTCCGGTGGACATACCGAAATCACACATGTCATCTAAATGAATTTTAAAATTTTTTTAAATATATAAATTTCAAATTTAAACCCTCGGGGACCATCCGGGAAACGAAAAACTGCAACCAAAAAATAAAATTAAATGGTCAAGAAAGTTTTTTTTGGCATTACCAACGTTGGAAAGCTGCAGTAACGTTTCTTTTTTAGACATAATGCAGTAGGAAAAATCCTCGAAAGTAATCAATTCTTGCTGACAGTTAAAGAGTTTTATAGATTTTTAAACACGCTCTTCTGATTTACCCGTATACGGGTTAAAAAAAAAGAACCGAGACGTTGTAATTTATACGGGTTTTACCAATTAGGACGTACGGATTTTTAAACGTAACCCGTTACAACACTCACCTACGTTACTTTTCACCCGTATTAACTTTTCATTCGGTGAAATTTACTGTTTTAAATATTAAAAAAGGCCATTTTCGGATGGCTAAAATCGTTCTTCTGCTAAATGTCACGAGCTGGTACGCGGGTGAAATCGAACATTTCTCGCGGGAGAAAGTGACAAGACACGTTCGTCACTTTAAATTTATATAAAAAAAAAAAAAATCGATGCGATCGACTTCGGTGGTAGATTTTAAAAGAAAACGAATTACAAAAGGGGAAAAAAAAATACACACCAACAATTAAGTTTCCTGACGCTCTTCAGATCTTGAGCTCTGGTACGAGCCAGGACGACGTTTTCCGTCAAGGTGGCCATCTTCGACGATAACAGGTCCGGTCGACGGCGGCGACTGAAATGATAATAATAAAAAAAAAAAAGATGGCTCGACTCGTTTATAAGCTAGATCCGACGGTCTTCGACCTCGACCGCTCTTTCTAAGAACGTAGGTCGATCGCTCTCTCTTCATCGATCCCCTTTAAACACTACCGAAGTCCTACAATTGTCTTTACCGATCGGTCTTCTACCGCTTCTCTTTTGATCCGAGATGATAAATCGAATTTGGTACTTACCCTTTCAGAAGTTTCGTACGTAGCACCGAACGGTGGACATCACTCGCCGACGGACATAAAATGCGGCATGTCGTCGTCCACCTTCCTCTTTCTGTTTACATTCCGTCTACGCCACCTGTCGGACGAAAACGACGGAATGTTTGTGTAAATTTTCTTCCCGACTATCGGCTGGTTTCGTAAAAAAAAAAAATTAAAAAAAATTTAATATTTTATACGATAAAATTATTTAAATTTAAAAAATAAAATTAAAACGATAAATTAATTTAATTTTTCTTTATGTAAGACCGGACGGTGATTATTCCGATACCGGAGTAATCCGAGTATTGTCTTCGGGGTCGGAGCTGACATGTTCGAAATTACTTTTTATCGTCTTTCATTTATTGTATATCTTGGAAAGGAAGAAGGATTTTTGTTCTTTGAAATATAATGGACTATCGGCATGGCAGATAATTGCCGAGATGGCACATAATTAAACAATGTATAAGACATATTAGTCATTCATTAAATGTAATGGGATTCAGTTGCTACAGATGACAAATGGCAATTTGTAAAGGAATTTAATGGGTATGGATTTAACTAAACAAATAGAGATTATTAATGTAATCTCTTTAATATGTTTTGAAAATTATGATAAATTCTGGCAATAATTAAGAATATATTCAACTGGTTTTCTCTTTATGAAGATCATCTATCTAATTAATAAATTGCTGTAAAATCTTTCAACGTATTTTATTATTAAATGCAATGTCTAGCAGTGAAAAAGTGGATAAAAACTCTAAACACTAGTAGTGGTGGTGGGTTTGAGTCTGAACAACTGGCTGACCACGTGGAGTTTCCCGTGTTTTCTTCGTCTTTGTAACTTCTAAATAGGGGTCACTTTATTTGCCATATACTAATAAAATCAATACAAAGTGAACTCTAAATTTTTGAAAAAACTATCCATCTAAGCGAGATCGTTCCATTCTTATTTATAGTCGACCCCTCTATAACACTGTTGATTATTCCGTTTTATATGAATTCCATGTCGTACGAGTCACTTAGATTTTACAAATACGTGAACTGTTTACAGCCCGGCACACGTATTTGTAAAGTCTAAGTGACTCGTACAACATGGAATTCATATAAAACGGAAAAATCAACAGTGTTATAGAGGGGTCGACTGTATCCACCTCCCATTGTTGTAACCATAAAATTATTCATGTTGTAAGTGACTCTTTTTCTGCTGTAAAACTCATTCATAGCAGAAAATTGCACCCTATTGCAACAGACATACGTACTCTCATTTTCAATTCCAATAACATGTACAGTATTACTTGGGTACGTGGTCACCATGGGATAGCTGGTAACGAAAGAGCTGATCAACTTGCAAAAGAAGCTGCGACTAATACACAGTCCAATATTATATATAACAAGATCAGTCATAGAACGACTAAAAAATTACTATATGACGACTTCATATATCGTTGGCAGCATACTTGGGACCAAAAACACAATGTCGTAACCTACAAATTTATACCCTGCATTACAGATTACTTCAAGAAGCGTAAATGGACCTTTCTCAGCCCACATATTACTCAATTTCTTACCGGTCATCGTAAGTTTTCTATCTACAGTAGAACCCCTCTAGTCCGCCCTCGGCTATAGTCCGTCACTCCGGTTAATCCGACCGTGGTCGGAATCGAGAAACTTGTCCCAACTCGTCAGTGACTCACCGACCGTGGTGTTATTCTGTATTCGTTACAGTATATGTTTTATATTGTATGTATGTGTACAGTTTTGTGTGTGTTTTTAACATGTCGGGAGTGAAACGTAAACACGTTACTCTTTCATTAAATGAAAAATTAGCAGCACTACAAAGAATAGACAAAGGGAAGATTGTTTATTTTACTTTTTTCTGATAATCCGACCTTTTCTGCGTTCCGACCATACCCCCAGTCCCAAAGGTGACGGATTAGAGGGGTTCTACTGTACTTACAAAGGTTCACTGGTAAACAAACTTCTTTCTGTTCCATCTGTAATCAGCCTGATGGTGTCGATCATTATCTTTTCGAATGTATCTCATTGGAAGCTGAACGCTTGGCCTTAGAATTTACTGTTAAAAGTTACAACTTAAACTGGCCATGTAAGCATGAAGAGCTGTTAATGAATAAAGAGATCTTCAAATCATTTTACAGACTAGTCAAACAGCATGCTATTATTGCACCAACTGCTACCAGAGAATAGCTTACTACCGTTTCTTCTGAACTTCACACCATCCAACCTGATAAATCTGATGGAATCAATGAAAATTTTGATAAACTGACTCCTGATTATTTTTGTTCTTGCTTTAATCAATTACTACATAAGTTACCATGAATCAATCTACACATGAAATACTTTTGACCTCGTCTAATTCTTGTTCTGCAAGTGCATTTTGTGTTCGGTAAGTACTCCTGTACTCTAGGTGTCTTGGAGATCCTTATGGACAAGTTTACTCTGAGGAGTATTTGTGGTTCCTCCCTGACAGACTAATTTCAAGAGAATATGGAGTTATTCCTGGCGGTTCTGTCCTGCAAGACTTGTTCTGCAAAACTTGTTCTACAAGTACTCAAGGTGTCTTGGAGGCCCTTATGGACAAGTTTACTCCAAGGAGTTTTGTGGTACCTCCATAACGGTCTTATTTCAAGAGAATATGGAGTTACTCCCGGTGTTTTCTCTGCACACTTTTCCTCTATATTATTCCATTGAACTTTCTCTTAGCTTTAATTTTAGTTATTAAGTTTATTTTTCTTATGTTAGTTATTAAGTTCTAAATACTCTGTCTGCAATATTTTCTACATATGATAACTCTGTATACATTGCTATTCTTTAATAATATTTCATTGTTATTCTGTATTAATGTTATTAATGTATTGATTATTCTCTCTGTAATATTTTGTATTTAACTGACAGTTTTGTATACACTGTTAATATGTACTATTGTAAATGTATATAATTTTTCTCAGCTGTGCTCTTGCGGTGCTGAGTATGTGCCTCGAGCACCTAATAAAAACGATTGATTGATTGATTGATTGTAGTCACCTCCCAGATGAATAGATTGACCATCCAAAGAGATGGGTTGGTAACCTTTAATATAAGCCATCTGGAGGATTTTATGGTTTGGAAAAGAAAACATTTTCCTTGTAGGATGGAAAATCATATCTGATAAGGTAGTGAGCCAAAAACTAAGTGTTTAAAATGTTTCCAATAAATTGGTAATAGATTGGATGTTATGGCTTCAAGAGATGTTATCTTATGGATTATATCGGTGTTTAGAAAAAAATAACAAATTTTCTGAATTATTGTCGTTATTGTAGATGAAATTAGATAATATAAGAAGCCATTTGAGCTTTTTATTAAAGCAATACGTAGCTAGACTTTCCTGCCATTGTTTTTTTGTTTTCGTCCCTATCATTACTTTTATAAATCTTCAGATTGGTTCGGAAGTTATTATTAAGGGAATAGGGCCGTGTCTCTCGAACCAACGGTCCGATTTTCCTGAAAATTTCTAGGAATATTTCCTTTTAATACAGAATCCTCCATACAAAATTTCAGAAATTTTCGACAAAAACCAAAGAAGTTATTAAGCTTTAAAGTGGGTGAAAAATCGTGCTCCCACATACATTAACATAAAAAAAAAAGATCCCCAACCTCTTTGCATTTCTCGACACTCCGTGCACCCTTGAATCCAAGACTGTAAAAAAAACTTGAGGGATCTTTTCCTCTGTTATAGGAGAGTATATAAAAGTTTGATAAATAATCTGTTAAATAAGAAAAGGAACTAGCAGAATATTAGATCTGTAGGTTCTATATTAGACCTTATTACTGTTATTTAATTCTATTATCTGACAATGCAGTCTCCTTAGTTTCCGTTTATATCACTAGATGGCATTTACTTCTTTCTGTCGGTCGATAAAGCCGGGTAACATCCCGGAGAGTTTCCCAACTAGGGGTACGCGTATCCCTGGGAATAAGGCGAAATACGTAATGGCTGCCAAATATAATTGTAAAAAAACATTTTGCAGGGTGGTTTGTTTATTACAGGGATTGATTCTATTAAATTTTGCTGGTTAAAGGTCGAGTGGGTTGGGAGATAAAGGGGGTCGAACTTAGTCGTGGATTCGCCCCTGACCACGTGGAATTTTTCGGGATTTTTCCCCACGTGTTGTCGAACACATAAATAGGAACCAGTAGAGTGTCGTTTCGGGGTGACACCCCTTGTGTTACATTGCTTTATCAGATCCATTTTGATTAATGGTAGTAAATATGTGACATCGTTGTACGAAATTTTATAGTCGACCCCCCCTATAACACTGTTGATTATTCCGTTTTATATGAATTCCATGTTGTAAGAGTCACTTAGATTTTACAAATACGTGAGCCGTACACAGCCCGGCACGCGTATATGTAAAATCTAAGTGACTCTTACAACATGGAATTCATATAAAACGGAATAATCAACAGTGTTATAGGGGGGTCGACTGGTACATAAGGTGTCCTTATTTACTAAATTAATTTAATCTAATTCGATTGGGACTGCAGACTGGCCTTTGTTCTTTAACTTATACGTCTTTTGTTTTCGCATATAGGTCCATATAGGTGTCGTTAACCACGATTTTAAGTACGGTACGAGAAGTCGATAGAAGCGAGTAAAGCTTTAACGTAACGAATTGCCATTAGAGAGGAGGGTCATGCGGAGGGAGAGTTTGTAAGGATGATAATAGAAGCGGGGAGCGGGGTCGACCGCATTTTCTGATCGGTCGGATAATCATGGAGGCGCTAATGGGACGGATCGAAGGTCTTTCCGGTAGACCAGCGATCTCGCTTCTGAGCGTAAAACGAGAAAGAAAATCGACTCGCTTATCTCGCCAACTCGCTTATCTCGGCCGAACAACGACAATTTCATATCTAAAATAAATTCTATCCATAGTTTTCCATTATGATGCAAAAATTACGTAAATCGAATGGGAATAATCACATAACGGAAAGGATTTCACGTAGAATCTTCACAAAAGGAAAAGATTTCATATAGAATCTTCACAAAAAGAAAGGATTTCAAGTGGAATCTTCACAAAAAGAAAGGATTTCGTATAGAATCTTCACAAAAGGAAAAGATTTTATATAGAATCTTC